TACGTCTTTAAGCCATTATTAATGTTATCCAGGTTACTTCATGGTGTCACTTTTGTTACATAAATATTGATTTGTGTTGTTTATTAATCTCAGCTCTAATGACCTTTTTGCGTACGTTTTATACGTCTTTGAGCCAATTGAAGCTTGTCACTATTGTTGATGTTTCATGGTTGTTGGTGGTTATGTTTGTTTTGATGTTCTTTGTCCTTTCTTTTTTTACGTCTTCGAACTAATTAAAGCGTATTAATATTTTATGTAGTTATGTAGTTATTGATTTGTGTTTTTCTTTTGTGGTTTTCTTGTGTTGTATTTGTTTAACTAAGTTATTATGTCCTTCTTGCCTACTTTTTCTACACCTTAGAACAAATTGCAGCTTCAAAGTACTGTTCACGTTTCATGATGTTATGTAATTACTGATTTGTTTGTTTTCGTTGATGTTTAATGGTCGTTGTTGATTACACTCTTTTTTCTTATCCTTTTTTTACGTTGTTGAGGTTGTGAATAGTAGTAAGAGTGAAATCTATTGTAGCGGGATTAGGCTAGTTTTTCTGGGCAGGGTATATTTTGATAGAAGTCGATGTTTGCTGATGATTTTATTTTGTATTGGAGGGATTGGATTTTGTTGAGGTTGGAACGCTTAGCCGTTCTGAATAGATCAAGTTGGTAGCTCCAAATTAGAGTAGTGTGGTGTAGTTTAGCCTGTTTCTTCTGCACTTTTCACTTCAGTTTTTGTTACGTTTTGCCCTTTATTCCGCGATAGAGCTAAAGTCGTTTAAAAAATTTCCCAAGAAAACCTCTGAATTTTGAAATCTCTTACTATTCTAAATATTTACAAGGTTCAACTGTCAATGACTGGTCCAAATTAGCGTGAAGTTCCAAATAATCTCTAAAACCTCGTAGAAATTGCGATAATAACATATAATCTCGCTTTGAACAAGGCTTATTGGAAAAATAATTAAACCAATCTTTCTTCTCTCTTAAATTTGATCCGGACAGGTTTGACGCCGCTTGATCAATGCGATGTTAATTTGTCCGCCGGTCAAAATTGACGGGCTGCGAATTGCGTCTTGGTTCTCAATCAGTGTGAATCTTGTTTGTACTATTCCCGGGACAATCATCTTGTTGACAAGGAATTCCGTTTGATGACTTTTTGTGACCTAAATGGTGTATTTGGTCCAAATGGCTTCGCCTTTTCCTATGTCACAACATCTCAAAAGATCGATTGAATTCCGGTAGCAAAGGAGCAAAGCTTAATTAAATACACATTTCTCGTTTTTTTTTGTTTTTTTTTTGCTGAGGGACCATTTGATCAAAATATCCTCCATCTTTTATTTGTTTTAACACAAATATACAAAGAAATGTTAGTATGATAAAAATTACAGCCAAATTGATTAAATATACCATTAATTACACTTTCAAGACGGTGTCTTAAGTACGTATTATAAATATATTTGGATTCTATTATTTATTTATTTTAACTACTGAAAAAATCACAATTGATCGTAATACTCAAAATGTAATTAATCCTGTCATACGTAAGTCCCTCAAAGGTGGGTCCTGGGTCCAATATAATTTCCTTGTTTCATAGCCTCTTGAACAATCCTTTATTAATTCTTCATTTACACATTTGTCTTTATTATGTAGGAATATGCAAAAAGTATTGGAAAAAAAACAGACTAACGCTCCAACTTTTTATGATACCAATCAAAAGCATCATTTGTCCTGGGTCCTATACGAAAAAAATTCAATTTGGGATAAAAGAGACGAAATGTCATACGAACGTGACTTTTTCGTGGTATCGGTCAAATTTAAAACCATAACTTCTTAAATTATTTCAGAAAAAATATAATTTTAGGTTTAACGATATAATTAATAGATCAATGGATGTCTTTATCGTCCAACATTGGTTATGTTGTCGCTCATGGGTCCTGGCCTCATGGTTAATTTGTCTTATTATTTCCACATACATAATTTATATTTTACTGTTTCAGCCTCAGGATTCTTACTGCCTAGACCACGTCCCATGCGGTTGGGCTGTCTACGACCCGCTCACCAGGAACGTCGGTTATATCATGCTGAACACGTAATTTCCAATATTTCCCCTACAATTTTGTAACATATTCTCATGCTCGACGTATTTCCTCAGGTGTAAATGTCAAAGCCCGAAGCTGTGCCTGAAGTCTGACGACGACCTGTCGGCTAGCGCGTACGTGCACAGGTGCAGAGAGAGGACGAGCCAGACGAGCAGTGAGCTGCCGAGTAGCTAGTACAAACCTCTCCAACCATAATCCATGATCCGGGATTTATTTCTTTATGTTCCTTGGAGTGTAAATAATCGCATAATTTTAAGTCTATTTATTTCAACCAGTAAAAAGTTTATAAAACTACACAATTTTTTTTTTTAATTATTAATATTTCAAGTACTTAAATTGGTTTATTTATTACCCTCATAGGACAGTAGTACCGACAGCACGATGGTATTCATCAATGCAGTATTTTAAAAACTTATTTTTGTTTTAATTTATTTATATTTGTACCTACTGCTTTTATGCGGGTTGTAAGTATTTTTAACTATGTAAAACTTGTACATAAAATAGAATAAACTTAAGCTATTTCATGTCAAAATTCTATAGAAAAAGAATCATTGTTAAAATACAAACTGACTATGTTGTTAAATTTGAAAAATATTGGAAAATATCAATGTTTAATAGATCAAATAAAAACCTTTACTGTACATTTACATTTTTCTCTTACTATCTATTATAAATTACACATATTATTTATTTACTGATTTGGTTGATTTAGTTTACTACCAATACTCGTATTGGTCTAGTACTCAATATTCTTTCGTTAACCCTTTCACACTGCACATTCACGCTAATAAATAGACAGAAGACGCAAATATTCGCTTCTATGCTCACACAGCAATTCTCATATCGAGTGGGATGTCACTGTCTTTATATGGAGCCAAGGAAGGGCACCCTGCAATGAAATGACACACAACTGGCAACTTTACACACCGGACGGATTCGCATGCGCAGAATACCAGATGGATTTGCGGAACCCCACAGTTCCTCTCACTTCTTTCTATGTCCAGAATGGTGGCAGTAATGACTTGTTGAGTTTGGACAGTCAAAACAGATTTAGGTCCTAATTTTCTTCGAATTGCCCATGCCTTCTGTTACGTTATCATAAGTTTTGTATGGAGATACCAAGTCAAGGTGTCTGATTTGAAAGGAAGTTTATAGCTCCTTATTATTGAATACAGTGCATAGCAAGACTGATTGTACTTTTTTCCTTCTTGTCCTCTACTTTTCACTTTATTTCAAACACATTGATGTTGGAATTGCTTGGATTCGGGTTTGAAGATATTTTAGTGACTGGGAGTTTCGGTGGCCCTGAAAAGGCGGGTGTGAGTGATGCCGTTGGTAGTAGTCCGTGACCGAGTGAACCGTTGGCTCAGGCCCGGAGGCCGAGAGTCTGTTGACTCCACAGAGGCTGAAGGACTCGAGTGCAGCAATTAGCCGAGAGAGTCGTTGGCGTTTTTAGCCAAGTCGACTGTGTTTAGAAGGCGAGAATCAGGCTAATGCTGCGAGGACTCTTGCTGTCGTCGTGGTCGATGTCGATGACGGTGGTGTTCACTAGGTGTCTCTAAAGCACAAGCTGTCTTATGTCGGCCTCAGGGTCGGCAGCAGAGTCACACGAGGGCCAGTGCACCAGATCCTGTCTGCAAAGACGGGGGAGGGTTGTATGGCCATCTGTACCACGGGGTGACAGAAATGTTCCAGAATCCGGCCCTCTGTCACATTGGGAACGGATTCGTGGTGGCTTGTGGTGACGCCCCTGGCGGGAACTTAGACAGAGGCTGTCTTCTACCTGGGACCTTTCGTGAAGCTTGCGCATGGCCAATGTATTAAACCTGGTCCTCACGGGAGACGTTGCGACCGGACGACAGCATGTAAGCGTTGAGGACGTCATGATCATGCTACAGTCCCTCGAATGCGTGAGTAAGCGATTGGAAAAGGGTAGTGATATCGGCGGTTTCTGACGAGTATGCTTTGCATTGTTGTGCGTATGACCGGCGTGGTACCCTTGGGGAAGCGAAGGATCGGACCACCTAGGCTAGACCTATGGCGTCCCTCGATTACGTGCAGCAGGTGTAGGCTGAGCTCGATAAGAGACCTTTGTCCGTAGACAGTGCTCATCTAGGGGGTGGGTAGCAATCCCACTTTATAATCCGAAACCGCTGTCGGGGCGTTCCCGAAAGTTTCTACGCTGGAGGAGCCTCTACACTCAGAGAGATAGAGTCGCCTTCTCTATCTAGGGAGTACGCGAGGGGGGGGGGCTGATGTATTTCGGCCCGTTAGCCCCTCGCGTGCGGCGTACGACCCGACGCACAATGCGGGCCCGACCATTCGGAGTGGACAAGCGGAGAGCGTGGCTACTGACCCTTAGGGGCCGGGACACCACTACACCAATGCTGCGGCGGTAACACTTTTCCGTCGTATGCAGAAGTGCGTTAGCTCTCATCTTGAGAATCAAAACGTCCGATAAGGCCGTATAAGCTAGGTGCGGACGTTAAAGATCCTCTTTTCTTGTTGACAATGAGTAAATCGGGAACGCATGTTCCACTAGGTGAGACCTCGTCGTATTGACGAGTCTGATTTCGGAAGAGCTCTACTCGGATTGCCTGCAGAATGGATAACGAGAACATTCCATAAACGGTAGGGGCATCTAGTGGTAACTAGATGTCGCCACCACAACAAATTTGCGGTATGTAGGAAAATCAGCTTTATAAATGGTAAACAGGATGGGGCCAAGCATGCCCCTAGGGCGCCGGATTGTGTTTCAGAGTATTCGTTGCCGCACCTCACTCTCAAGCAGCGGTCAGTTAAATATGATTCAAGAATTTTTAAATCAATATATTTTAAAATTAAACAAAAAAAGAAAAAATTTAAGCCAACTTTCTCACCAATCGTTCATACAATATTTAAATTTATCGTTACATATGTTAGATATTTCGATAAATATGTCGTGAGGCAAAATTTTGATTTTTTTTTATTTCTTTTTAGTTTATACAAAGGTTTAAATTTCTAAACAACAAAACATCATCCACGATCTAAATCCTTTAATTATACAATTCTAAATTTAATTCAATTTCGAACTGTTTGGCCCGGTTTTCCACCGTTTCTTCCATCGTGAACTTACTTTTCGCCAAGTCGTCCTGTGCCATTTGTTCAATAATCGCTTGAAATGAAAGACTTCACTCCTTGGGTTTTCGTCCTTCCGAGCGGCGGCGTCGTTTCAGCAAGCATCTGACGAACCGAATTTGAGCACTTGCTGAAAACTTCACGAGCTGCCGAAGGCGATATCACGTCGACTGAACGTCAAATGAAAAAAACAGAAACTTCATGCTAAAAAGCCCAAAATGTCATTCAGTACCACAGAGGTAAACTTGCCATATGTGATCATTTTCATTTTAATTTAAATAAAAGAAAAACATGATTAAACTATGTAAACATTTGCAATTTAAACTATTTAAAAAATTAATAATAATTTTAAAAATAAGAAATCACTAATAACATCAGTATCAAAAGTTAAGTTTTCACGAGAGAAACATCGAAACAATAATGATTTACTACTTTTTGGTTTTTAACATTTGCACCGCATTTGAACATTTGATCATCTAATAAAGCATACAGTTTTAAAGGTTTATTACCTTTCTTTTATCCTATATAAATTAAGAAAAGGTTCTAACAGGAATATTACTATCTTGATTACCCTAGTGACTCGCTCGGTCGGGTTAGTCTGAGGATGGAAGAACTCAGTAAACCATATTTTGACGTGTGTTCTCTTTCATTTTTGTCCCAATTCTTTTCCTTTAAACTGTAGAGTCCCAAGCTTGCAAAAAGCGAACTGTTCTGTCTGCTATGCGCAGGCTTCTTGAGCAGATGCACTTTGTACTAATTACTAACAGGAACGTCGGCTGGTGTACGTTGTAAAGGCTTCACGGTTAAGCCTGAACTTTTTCAAACGAACTGTCTGTACTTGCAACAACTTTGTTAACAGTATGCAGTATCTTGGTCGTATACGATCTGCATACTCGCTTTTTTCGTCTGTCTTGGACATCATCAGTGGTTTGTGTTTTATTTGTCATTAAAGGTCGTGAGGAATTAAAATGGGTATTTCAAGATGATCGGAAACGACCAAGCTTCAAGTTTATGCAGTAGCTTGACCGTATACGATCTGCATACTCGCTTTTTTCGTCTGCTTTGGACATCACCAGTGGTTTGTGTGTTATTTGTCATTAAAGGTGGTGAGGAATTAGAATGGGTAGATCAAGATGATCGGAAACGATCAAGCTTCAAGTTTTTTAATCACGGCGCACAACTAAGGGTGGAATATTACATTTTAATCTGATGTAGTCTGTCATTTGAATTTTCTCAACTGCCCAATGAATACATCGTTTTCAGGTGGATGATCCAACACTTACACAGCAATCTTCAGCTCTTAGCTTAGATGACCATATCATATACACCTGGCTGGGTGTCACCGTTACATGCAACGTGTCCAACAGCCACAAACTTTCCTGCAAGCTGAAAGGGAAACCAGTCGTGAAAAAAACTCTTTTGCGCGATGGTGAAAATTATGATGTCGAATCAGTTAGATACGATTCAATTCATGAATTATTTGTTTAGTGTATGGCGAGGCGAGACCGGGCGAGCTACTGGCCATCATGGGCTCGAGCGGAGCAGGAAAAACGACACTGCTCAATTGTCTCACATTTCGGAGTGACAGGAAACTCGATGTTTCTGGATTCATGATGATTAACGGGCTGCCAGTGACTAGCAGAAGTCTGACTTCCATTTGTGGCTACGTGCAGCAAGTAGACCTATTTATTGGCACACTCACCGTCAAAGAAAGCTTGATCTTTCATGTAAGCTGTGAAATTGTTATATCTTCCGTATTTTCAGTAGTAATTTTTGTATATACAGGCCATGCTGAGGATGGAAAAAGGTATGCCTTTTGAAAAAAGAGTTGCCAGGACGGAAGAAGTTATGAGAGAGGTATTTTAACATTTCTTAAATTTTTGGTGTTTTTCAAATTACATGGAAGGTGTCTAGAATGAATCTGTTTAAAACCCTGAAGTCTCGCCATCATTCTATGGTTTTATTTGGAGATCGTGAGGTGCGGTCTGGTGTGACGCAGGTTTTAGAAAAACATTTTCATCATGTCCGGACACTCTCAACACGACACACAAGAAAGACATATCTACACGGAAAACAATCACTTTGAGCCCTGAAGATGATCTCAATAAAGATCGAAACGTTGGCACGATAAAGAAAATGTTTTTCTAAAACCTGCGTCATACCAGACCGCACCTCACGATCTCCAAATAATCATTGGCTAACGGTCGCTAAACACCTCACATTCTGTGGTTTGTTACTGCATGGAAAAGAGAAGTAGCGTAGGCTTTGAAAAGTGCCCTCCATTGATCAACTGGATTCAAACAAAGTGCAACAAGATAACTGAAGTCCATCACATCTTTCGGGTTTGAGTCATGGATAAAGGTGGCCATTCACGATCGCTCCAAGCAGTCCAAACGGAGCGACGCCGTTCCAAAAACCACGTCAATGGCAAACTGAACTGGCGTGCCCGGCTGTGCCGTATATTCGACCGGTCCAAACTCCATCGCGCCACTCCAAATATCTACGGCGCGACGACGGCATGGCGCGTTCGTGAATGGGAAAACCTGGCGTGGAGGGTGGGGATTTTGGCGCGCTGGCCTGGTCGTGATTGGGAAAACCCTCGTTTTTTTGGCGCAGTCTCCGTCTTCTGTCACTGAGCAAACATCTCCGTCGTACATTCTCAAAAAGTCAAAAACGTTTATTCTTTAAGATTTTATTGTTGAAGTGATTGAATTGTATGAAAGTTTACCATGTTCATGAAAGTGGTGGACAATGATTATATTACCACGATAGAAATAAAAGAAATGCAATCCTCAACCAGTTGGTCGACGTTTTCAAAACAAAGGATACAAATGCAATGAGAGATGCGGTATTGATAACCCATAACAATGATCAGAAATCGTAGTAGAGAACTTAAGTTCTTTGTAGTTCATCCCTGCAGCGAGAAATCGTAATGAGGTTGCCAACCTTTCATGTAGTGATGATTCTCTCATGACTGTCTTTTGTTTTTTAATCAAGGGTCGTGAATGCCCCTCAAATTTCAGGCACTCAAATGGAATACCGCATCTCTACATGAACATGGTAAACTTTCATACAATTCAATCACTTCAACAATAAAATCTCGATTGGATGTCATTACCAGTAAAGAATAAACGTTTTTGACTTTTTGAGAATGTACGACGGAGATGTTTGCTCAGTGACAGAAGACGGAGACTGCGCCAAAAAAACGAGGGTTTTCCCAATCACGACCAGGCCAGCGCGCCAAAATCCCCACCCTCCACGCCAGGTTTTCCCATTCACGAACGCGCCATGCCGTCGTCGCGCCGTAGATATTTGGAGTGGCGCGATGGAGTTTAGACCGGTCGAATATACGGCACAGCCGGGCACGCCAGTTCAGTTTTGCCATTGAAGTGGTTTTTGGAACGGCGTCGCTCCGTTTGGACTGCTTGGAGCGATCGTGAATGGCCACCTTAAGTTCTTTGTAGTTCATCCCTGTAGCGAGAAATCGTAATGTGGTTTCCAACCTTTCATGTAGTGATGATTTCTCTCATGACTGTGTTTTGTTTTCTAATCACGGGGGTAACAAGCTGGAGTAAATATAAATAAGACGTTAATCTTTTTTTTGTAAGGTTTTGGTTGAAATGAAAAAATAGTGTCACGAGGGGATTCGAATCCACGACATTCGGCTAAATACGCCGCTGCGCTAACCACTTGAGCTATCCTGACTTCGATAGTTCGATCCACTCGGGCACCAACTCCCCATCTCAACCTACAACCTTTCGAATTTTCTCTCTTTTTGCCATTTTTTGGTGTCGGAGAGGATCGGAGTCACGATAGCTCAAGTGGTAGAGCAGCGGTGTATTTAGCCGAAGGCCATGGATTCAGATCCCGCTCGTGGCACTAGCTTTTTCATTTCAACTAAACCTTACAAAAAAGATTAAATAATTGAAAGAAGTAATTTGGTCAATAGAACACTAAATATAATGAATAAATAAGACGTTTCATCCATCCTTAAATAGTTCCTCCAATCAGCGGGTTCAAGGGAAAGTTCTTTCATCAAATTGATATGGGTATTACGGCTTCTGTTCAGGAGCCACTTCTTACACCATTTCCTCTTCGACTTTTGCTTTTAATATGTAAATAAACAGAAGATTAGCCGGATATAAGCAGGGTTTGTCGAATTTCATTGTTGCAACATCGATTTGTTCGTAATAAATCATTCAATTTCAAAGCAAAACTGTGGGAAATAAACGCGCCATTACGTGATGGAGTAGAGACATGTCCCGTCACTCTAGCCTTTTCCGTTCAACAGCACACTTTTCTCTAAAGAACACTGTAAAGTATTTACTTTGTACAATGGCTTGATTTGAATTTCGAAGTGTTTTTGTATTTTATACATACGACTTGGTTGAAACTCATTTCAATTATTGCGTGATTTTAATTAGCTAAATTTGAAAAAGTGTGAAAACACGGTCGTCGGCATACCCGGAAAGCTCAAAGGCATATCAGGAGGAGAGATGAAACGGTTAGCTTTCGCCGCAGAGGTGAGCTGCCTTTTTCTATCATCATTTCTTCATTTCACCGAGCTTTTTCCAGATGCTAACGGATCCACCGATACTCTTCTGCGACGAGCCCACCTCCGGGTTGGACTCCTTCATGGCCCAGAACGTCGTCTCGGTGATGAAAGAAATGGCGAGAAAAGGCAAAACCGTCATCAGCACCATCCACCAGCCTTCGTCACAAGTGTACGGCATGTTCGACAAAGTCCTGTTCATGGCCGAGGGAAAGGTCGCATACCTAGGCAGCCAAGCTCTTGCCGGAACGTTTTTCAAAAAGTTTGTATCTATGAAATCTGTTAACAGCGATCTTTATAAAATTATTAAACATAAACAATTATTAAAACTTGTATATATTAGATCTAGAATATCGTGTCTACTCCAGTTATTGTCCTCCTTCCTCCTCCTTTTCTTAAAAATTATGCTGCTTCTCAGTTTGGACAAGCACTTTTAACTCTTTCAAGAGGAGGACTACGGATTATTACCAATTTATTACTTACGATTATCACCGATATTAACGAATTTTTTTGCTGAAACTAAGTCAAAGAATATTATAAACACCGAGCGTTTTTGCCAAAAATTAAATATTTTTAAAATTATTGTTTGGGGGGCGTCGGTGGCCGTAACGGTTTGGCGTTGACACGGCGCTCATCACTGTAAGGTAAAGGTCCCGGGTTCGAATCCAGCGGCCCTGCATTCGAACCCGACATACTTACGAATGGGCTTTGTTGCAAAAACACAGGGTTGACCTCTGCTGTTGCGGACCCTCTTAAAAAAAATACTATTTACAGCATTTGCTGTGTATATATTTCATTCTGAGTGTTCTCATCCAACATTAAAAAAATAATTAAAATAAATTTTAAAAAATCGACTGATATTTAATCATCTTGAAATGCATCCACAGCAAAGGCAGAAACCCATATTTTTCAAAATACACGGTTCCTAGGGCCCATTGGCAAGAATGATAGGGCAAGAGTTTTATTGGGCTGGTGCAAAAATAATGCAGGCTTTGTAAAGGCGGCCAAAACAACCTTTAATTTTTATAAAATAAAGAAAATTTATTCGAAATATTTTCTATCATAATCTGTACATATCTGATCAAGTGGACTATATGGATTTGAAATTAAATTAAAATAAAATGAATTATAAAATAAAATAAAACACTCACCTACAGTGACGATAGTCCAGCTACCTCAACTGAGGTAAAGGGGGATGCTAGGAGGAAAATGGTCGGAAAAGACAGGAAAAGTCGGGACGGGGACCTTCACCACGCAGATGTCTCAGGAACTTCACCAACCGGAGCGATGACCTCGATAAATTCATAAAAATGAAGACAATAAACGAAATAAAATAAACTTCAAGCTGAATCACGACTTATATAAAATTGCAAATTGCCAAAGACGACGACACAACGAATTCAAGCCTCGATCTGGCCGACGACGAGGCCGGAAACGTGGCGGGTGGTTTTCCGAAATCTTATCCCGAGTATCCTGTTACGGCGTAAACAGTACATCTTTGGTAACGTGTAATAAACATTTTTATTCCGCTGACATAAAAATCTTTATTTCGACTCACAATAAAGTCTTGGAAAGAGTTTTCGTTTCAACGCGTTCTTTAAAAAATTTACCCCTCAAGGTGTGATCAAAATGCTTAAAAAAGGTAAATTCTATAGGCGAGAGATCGGGTGAATATGGAGGGTGCGGTAAAGTTTCATATCCTAAGTCCTTAAGTTTCCGCAGGGTTGGCAGTGGGATGACTGCATGATGCATTATTATAATTATCAATTTCTTGGCAACATTTCTCTGCTGTGATAGTTTAACCATAATTCAGGAATATGTGGTGTTTAGTGTCCGTTAGCCAATGATTATTTGGAGATCGTGAGATGCGGTCTGGTATGACGTAGGTTTTAGAAAAACATTTTCTTTATCATGCCAACGTTTCGATCTTTATTGAGATCATCTTCAGGGCCTTGTGTTGTCTGCATTTCAACAAAAAAGTTCTCTGATTGATAGCCGATGCAAGTTTCTTCTCATTGTTGGCGATACCCTTCGGAATACTGAACAGAAATGAACAGATTTCAACTACATATGGACATCGAGCAAAGAGTATTCTGAAGGACATCGCCTAGTTTTAAGTTCTCTGCCTAAAGCACACAGGTGAGTCCTACTTCTTCAAAGAACTTGATTAATAGGCCCGGTTTCAGTGGTTGAATCTCTTCTACACTCACATTGTACATCCCAACGTACTTCCTCCTGCGGGCAAGTGTAGCACCACAGTTTGTTAATAGGTGTGTTGGTGTCTCCTCTGCCTCTTTGCAGAATCTGCATGTGCGTCTTGGATTACTCCAATCTTCTTTGTCCATTTAGCTTGCAGAGTCCTGTTAAGAATCCTATTAGGATTTGCAGTTTGTTCCTGCTTCCCTTGAATTTTGTTAAGAGATTCTTGCATTGCCTGTGTCCAATGAGTGAATTCCATTGTGCCTTCATTTTTTTGCCCTTCTGTGAGAGATACTCATTGATAGTGTGGGTTTCTATGCCACAGAAGGATTCGGGTCCTATCAGCGGTGTAGCAGCTCCTTTCTGTTCTGCTGTTCTAAAATAAATTTAGTTAGGTTTTGAAGTTCAAAACCATCTTTGAACTAATGATATTTGAGCTTAGTGCTTTGATGGCTGCTTGGCTATTGGACATGATAGATATGTTCTTGTTTTTGTATCCTTTAGACAAGCTCAAGTCCTTGAGTACATCTCTCGATTGCGTGAACTTCAGCTTGAAAGATACTGGGTATTTTATTTATTCCCATGGGTTCTGAGTATTTGGTTCCAGGTCTGAATACTCTTACCCCTGTACATTCTGTGTCTAGATCCGTCTGTGTACGAAAATATGGTGCCATTCTTAAAGGAGGTGTGTTTCTTCTCGTTCCCATTCTTTTTTGGTACTTACGTTGATTGAGTTTTGATAGAATTCAAACATCCTGTTCATGTCGTCTCTTGGATCCATGAGTATCGAATGGTCCTTCATTATTTTGTTGCTGTCTCTCCATTTTAGTTTTATTCCTGTTGGAGGTTTCTCTTTAATGAAACTAATAATAGTTTTCAGTACTGTCCTCATTACCATGTGGTGTAGGGGAATTAATCCCAATATTTTTTTCCATATCAACTGCGGGACATGTTATCATTGCTCCCGCTATACAGGATCTTTAACTTTGTTTACATGACAAGTGTCTGAGAAGATAAAAGAAATTTTTAAAACCAGCATTAATTTTGCACCAATCCATATATTTTTCTACCCAGTGTCACCAAAAAAAGTTTTATCAAAATCAATTATCCCAATTCCGCCTTCTTTGGTTATTCGTTTAGTAACATGCTAGTCTTCATATTATTCGTGTTATTGATCTGCCAAGGTTTCAGTTTTAACCTTTAAAACATTGTGGATAATAGTAGAAAAGGACCAAGCAGAAAGTCCATCAACGTGGTTCGGGAAGCCTCAAGATCACGATTTTCGTTCTTTACTTATAAGCATTCGATGCAACAATCAAGATTGCCGGTTTTGTTTAATATAAACCTTTAATTTATTTTTAGAACATTATAATTAATTCTATTTGCCGACGTTTTCCTCTGAAAAAAAGTTTGAAACCCAGATTTCCTTTAGTTTCGGCGCAATGTGTCCCAGCCATCACAACCCTGCCGATTATTATGTCAACCTGCTTGCTGTTGCCCCTGGCAAAGAAGAACAATGCAGACGTAAAATAAGCACGATCTGCGAAGCGTTTAGCAACAGCCAAGTTGCAATGGAGTTGAGGGATATCGGGAAAAGAGACAAGGCAAATTAAAAATTAAGGAGCCCCGATGTTTTTAATTAAATAACGCTATTTACAGATGTACAATGAAGCGTATCAGGTAATGAAGAAAATATCCAAGTACAGGGCCAAATGGTACAGTCAGTTCGTAGCAGTGTTTTGGCGATCTTGGATAAGCGTGCTCAAAGATCCAACTGCGCTCAAAGCAAAACTAATACAAACTATAGTAATGAGATTTTTTTAATAATTAATCTTTTAAACAAACAAATCTGGAATAAAAAGTTATATAGATCGTGGCTTTGATCGTCGGGCTTGTATATTTCCAGCAGAATATGGATCAAGACGGCGTCATGAATATCAACGGTGCTATATTCGTCTCCCTCGCAAACATGACTTTTCAGAACATGTTTGCCGTGATACACGTAAAAAGAGCAATATAGTTGAAAGCCTAAAAATTACAAATCTGAACTGCTTTTTAGGTATTCTGTGGCGAGCTGCCGATTTTTATGAGAGAGCACACCAATGGGATGTACAGAACGGACGTCTACTTTATAGCAAAAGTGCTGGCGGAATTGCCGATGTTCTTAACCCTTTCTACAATGTACACCATCATCGTGTACTACATGATCGGTTTTAATTCGCAGCTAGAGAGGATGCTTGGGGCGGTAGTTGTCATGGTACTTGTAGGAAACATCTCTACAGCATTGGGTAATGATTTTTTTTTTTTTTAATTCCTTTCTAATATATTATGTTTATGAAATGGACAAATTGGTCGTTTTGGTCTATTTTCTATGTTATGGTCACTGATGATTGCGAGAAGACCAAACATAGGCAGACCAAATAACCTTAAATCTCTAAGTAGGTACATCTCTTACTGTTTTATGTGAATTATAGGCTATTTTATATCGTGTGCATGTGCAAGCATCAGTGTGGCTTTATCATTGGCTCCTCCAATAGTAATTCCGTTTTTGCTCTTTGGCGGTTTCTTCTTGAACACTGGGTATCACATAACATCCATAATTACATATATACAACAATAATAAACTATTAATATTTATTTTTAAAAAAAAGATCCATCCCTAATTATCTTTCTTGGTTCCAATACTTGTCATGGTTTAAGTATGGCAATGAGGCCATGATGATCAACCAGTGGAAAGGAGTGAAGAACATCGCCTGTACCAAAGTGGGTACGACTTGCCCCAAAAATGGAATGGTTATCTTAAAAACACTGAATTTCGATGAGGTGAGTCAAATTAAATTTTCCTTTGAACTTTATTCAATTTAAGTTTGGTTGTACAGAAGAATTACTACTTCGACCTTTTGATGCTTGTGGTTCTGATGATAGCTTTGCAATTAGGGGCTTTCTTCATGCTGTTCTTAAGATCCATTTTCAAACTTGTCTGATGACAGAAGAAGAAGAAGAAGAAAGATCCCCTTTTTTTATTTTTCTAATTAAAGTTGACTATGCTGCTCAAACTAAAGGAAACAAAGGCGAAGTCAATAAACTGCCATCAGTTGTAACAATGACACTAGTCCTTCATGTCAATCTATTCTTGAATGATCAACTTAATAAATTTACAGCAGTAATTTAAAAGAAATTATTTCATATAGAAAATGGTATTATTTGTGTCCAAGAGACCCATTGTTGAAATTTCCACATCTTGATTTATCTATAAGCTGTACCGATTTGTTCAAGGCAGTCTCTGTTGATTTGTCCTTTTGGTAGGCATGTCGTTGGTCATGGAGGTTTCCCTAATCCATAATCTCTTGGGACTCTCTCCTAAAATATTTTAGCTAAGTATTTTTTCTTTTATTTTAGAACAATTCAATTGATTAATTTTTTTATGTTTTCAATAAAAACAATTTTGAATTTCTTATTTAAACTGATGAACAAGGTTGAAAAATAAAACTGGTAAAACAAGAGCACAATTTATTCAACAATTAAAAAATCTAATATTTACACACAAATCAGCCGAACTTTCAAAACCTGTGCATCCGGATGGGCTTCTCTGAGTTGTAAAGTTTCGGATCGTCAACGAATTCAGGCTGTTTGTTCCAATAAGGCATCAAACCTGAAACAATAAAACGATCATAAAAATAAATAATTAATTTGTATAAGCATCACAAATCATACAAGCTTGTTGAGCTTTGTTGATTTCCCTGGCGACGGCTTCCTGCTTCAACTTGCACAAGCCGGTTATGTGCCTGCCATACAAGCGGCCTGTGAACGGAGATACGAACTGCGACAGGAGCTTCACGTTCTTGAAATCAGGGTCGATTTTCATCTTGCACAGTATGCAAACTTGTTTCTCCTTTTGAAAAGGGTTCGGCATCTCAACAGGCTGCAACGAAAGCACACTATCAGTCTACATGGGACAAACTTTGTGAGAATTCTTTAAAAAATTCTCAAATATACAAATTCATTTGAAAACTGGCTAAATAATGAGCTAAATAATAATCTTTTTCATAAAGACCAATTGCGCTCCTGGCATTCAGTCAACATACTGTGTGTAAGCTAAACGTCTAAAAATGAAACCATATTATGAGAAAATCAATAAATATTGTAAAAATGCATACCATATCGTCACTCGAATCATTTCTGCTTGCAGAATCATTCAGTAACTGGGAAGAAGTGACAAATTGCCTCCTGGCAAAAATTCTTGAAGTAGTGACTACTATGAACACAAAATTAAATATAATTTGGATTGTAATGCAGTGGGTGCTTAAAACGCACATTGAGATGTTAGAACTTACAGGCTAATTTAAGAAAACTCATCTTTTACTGTATGTTTCTTCAAATCTTATGTTTACTCGTTGTGATAAGCGTGGTTTAAACGAAGGTTTCATTATCATAACAAAGAAACCAAAACAGATCCATATCGATTAATCGAAATGTAACGTTACATCGATCATTAAAACAAAGTAAATATTTTTAAATTAATTTAATAATTCAGTACTAATTCAAATTGAATTTTACATGGTAAACTGATTTTTAATATTTACTTTAAAAAATTACCACAGATTATAATTATTTAGCCAGAGAGCTGACCATAATAAAAACACAAAATCTGCCAATATCGATTAATTGAAATTTAGCGTACTTATTATTAAGTTAAAATTAATAATATTATTAAGATAAATTAAATTAATTACTCTAACTCACGTTAGAATTTACATTGTAAACTATTTTTTTTCTAATATTAATACAGGAAACTTTACTAAAGTTGATATTTTACTTAGCGAGTCGTTGATAATACCAAAGAATACGAAATGTCACAATCGATTAATCGAAATGTTACGTCACAATTGGTAATTGGTAATTATTCCGAAATCGTTCGCGATCTCACGATTTCGGAATAATTATCGATTAACGGTCACTAATTATCACCACACATTGGTAATTGGGTTAATTAGAATAAAATATGGATTAAAATATAAAAAGCGTTTATTAAAAAAAATATACCAGTATTACATAAAATATAAAAAGAAATAAAACAAATATAATATATAATATGATAATATAATTTGAGGTCGTTTAACAAAAAATAAAACACGACAACAGACATCTTTGCATTCTCTGAATAATCGAATTTGGTTATTAACATATATGTACCTACATTTTAATGCTTGCTGTACAAATAAAAAAGAATTTTATGATCTAATATTACGCATACATATTATGTACAATAAATAAAGAATTACATTATAAATAATGTAATTTATTAAATGTTATTAATGTTGTAATTAATGTTATAAATTAACCTCACCCATTTACGAATAGACCATGCGAGGTTGACACATCGACACATAATTTTAGGCCAAACCGGCGTAAGTGTTCGACAAGTAATTAAGATTGCTCGTTGTCTCTCAGTTAATTAAGGGTGCCATTCCTTGGCTCAATATAGAAAGCGTGTAGGAATGTCACCAGATATAAGCATTGATTTCGAGCATGGCAGCGAGTATTTAAGTCCCCTGTATCAATTTTTAGAGGAAGCAGGGCAGTTTTATCGTATATAATTCTTCATAGATATCTAGTCTTGTGTTTCTTTGTGTATATTGAGATTGAATGTATTTATTAGCGTGAGAGAGCCGATGGCGGAATATTGCGTACACGATCGACCCTCAATTACGTAATTTAGGTACGAATATGTGTAGAGGGTGATGGAAGTATATAAAATCACCATCTTAACTGATTGAATGGTACTTCAACTTCATACTGGCTTAACAAAAAAACAAAAAATAAATAAACCACGACAACAAGCATCTTTGCATTCTCTGAATAATTGAATTCCGTTATTATCATACGTGTATATAATTATGTCCCTATATTTTAATACCTACTTTACAAATAAGTTATACCAATTTTTTACATTCAATACGTTATGGCTTTTGAAAACTCAGTTCGTCTTTGACGAACCAGTCCAATTGGAATACTCTGAATATTGTACATATCTTCATGAAATGATAAGTTTTTTCATCTTTTTTTTGTGTATCGCAGAAAGATACCCGCTTATTTCTTCTCCTCTATTTACACCATTGTTAAGACTCAGCAATTCACCTCTTGCTTTTAAAATAGTTAGAATAAATAGCCATCCAATCCATACTACTTAAAAAAAAATCCATACTATCACTTAAATAATGGAATGCACATTACAAATTTGAATGACTGTAACCGATAAGAACATTCATTTGTCTTCTTTGTTCCAAAACCTTTTACAAACGAATTGTAAAGGATTGAGTGAGCAAAGAACGAACTTCGAATTACGGCCAGAGGGCACAGCATCCTGGCTGATCCAATATCTCAGTGACCTAAACATTAATTTCGTAAGTGGATTTACATTTTTTTTGTGTAGGTTTATGTTTGGCTATATGTTATTGACTGAAACAAATGTATTTGTTAGCGAGAATGTCGGGGGAGAGGGGATCCCTTGAGCCCAAGAAATATCGAGTACTCGAGCACGAATAAATTATAATATGTATTCTGTCTTGATTTATTTGCATGAGTGGAAAGAGTGAATGACAATCAGTTCTTATTTGTGATAATGTACAAAGTGTATGTAACTTATTAGTGCGGAAACAGAGAAATATCACGTATTCTAAGACAGGTTGAATGAAAGTCTAGTGTGTGTGAACGTAATTTATTAGCGTGAAAGTACGGACTTCATTTCTAATCACCTCGAGGCATATTGAATACTCTACTCTGGGGGCTTAAATGGTCTAGTGTGTGTGAATGTAATTTATTAGCGTAAATGGAGGAGCTTCTTCCCCAATCATCCTGACGAATATTGAGTCACGGGGGCAATGCGAATTAAATCTGGTTTGTATAAATGTAATTTATTAGCGTGAAAGTATGGACTTCATTTCTAATCACCTCGAGGCATATTGAATACTCTACTCTGGGTCTTTGTAAATGGATTAATGTAATTTATTAGGGCGAATTTTAAGTTTAAAAATAATAGCAGGATAAGATGTAAAATAGGCGAATAATTCAAAAGCACATTGGCACTGTTTTAAGTACAATTTATCGATTATTCGATCAATTTCGACGGTTTTCTCTTCCCAAGGGCCAAGGGAAGCCGGGATCATCAGTGCTTACAACCAGTCGGAGCGAAACGGGTTGGGGCCCAAGAGGAAGGGAGCTTACATAACGACACCAGCAAACCTCTGTGTTACATAACGACGCTTGAGACTCAGTCGTTCTTTCTGTTAGAACAACCCCAAATCCAACCCCCGGGGTCACATGTGACGGAAAATGACAATCAGCGAGGAAAGTCAGCCGTTGATCCTTCAGGGGAAAAACGGATCGGGGAACAGTTACAACTCAGTGCAAGTAAAGTTTCCTTTTATTCCTAAAATTTTAAATTGTATCTGTAAATAATCATTTATTTTTTGTTGTTTTAATACAAATTTTGAAAAAAAGTTTTTAATATGAAGTAATCATACTGAGTTTAAAATCAACCAGTCATCAAATTTGTTGATTTTAAGTTGTATGATAATTGTTAGCACAAATATATTCTGGTTTTCTTTTATTAATAATAGTATGGATTAAAACAACAATACATTGTCCCAATTAAGTTTACATTTCTACTAAACAATTTTGTCATTCTTGTTCTTTGTTATGAGAAACGGCTCTATAGATATAACCTTAGTAAAAACAATTTAATACATTTCTGCGTTTCTTAATTATTTATTATTAATTAAATTACCAGTTCAGTAAAGTATCCACAAGCCGATTGTGGTTTTAAATATTGATTAATCGGTTTTGAATTTTGGGGTTCTTTGGTATGATAAATGGTATACTTATCAACAAATTTAAAATTGTCAATATAAACATTATTAAAAATTAATGAAACTTTTTATCCTTTTAATAATTATTGATTATTAATTAAAATAATTGAACCAAATCAGATACTTTACCCCAATAATCGATTGTGGTCTTCAAATTTTGATTAATCGGTTTGAAGTTTTGGGTTCTTTGTTAGTCATTGAAAGACATGGGTAGTCATTGGAGGACAGCAAAAAATCGAGTAGTATGAAAAGACTCATTAGTATCAGCGTACAAATGCTATGTGCAGTAGTGAATGCCTATAAAATAAAATAAAAACGAACGTTATGGAATGAAGAAGTTTTATGACGGCATAAATGTACACAGAACGGATTTTCAATAATGCTGTATGTATAACCGTAGACACTTTCACCATAAAAGAAGGTAATGGAATAGATTAAATTCCTCATAGCTTTTTTTCACGATTAAAAAATAATCAAGGAGTTATTGGTCTAATTTTGATGGAAGGGTTTGCAAAAATATCTAAAGTTTAACTATTATTTGAACATTTAAATTTTTTTTCGAGAAATATTTTTTATGTTTTTTAACGAGTCCGATATTAATAAATAATACTGTTTTAAATCGTCTTTTGAGGGGTCATATGTAAAATATTTCAGACAATAATATGTCAAAAAATCACAATTTTTATTTTATTTTTTATTTTTTTAATGTTAGCGCATTATTTTTAACGTCCCAGTATAAATTCAGTTAAAGGTAGACAGGAATTGAATTATATTACAAGGTAAATCCTTTTATTTATTATGTTTAAGTCTGTTTTTGAAAAGAAAACCGGTGTTCATGATTAGGCCTTTTTTTCCCATTTCTTCCATCTTCTTGAACCAACTTGTGCTTTTCCCATGTGAGCCTTTGTTCGAATGATGTTTGAAATGGGAAAACGATCCTTTAGTTCTCACTTTCCGTCCGAGGATTTTCCGAGGCTGCGTCGATTTCAGCGAGCGCCTGACGAACCGAAATAAGCACTTGCCGAACGCTGTAAATGCGGCCTTAAAAATGGGAAGCTGTCTCGATCGAAAGTTCAAATGAAGCCCGTGGAAAAGACCTGCTTGAGAGAAAAAGCCCTGAGAAACTTGATGGAACACTGAATCCGGGCTAAAAAACTGTCGTCACATGTCGTCTTTTAATGTTCATACCCCAAAGGTAAACCGTCATATGAGAATTTTTTTATAAACAATATGGAATTAAAAAATAAGGCAATTTATTAATTACAAAAGACAATCCGTTATATTTATATTTATTATCCTGGAAAAGTAAAAATCATATAACATATACATCGAGCATTAAAAAAAACATTTCAAACTTTTGAATCTGAATTTTGTCAATCAACCGTTGGTGGTATATGTTATCTTGGTGAACTTTTTTGTTTTTGGTCGAATAAGGAAGTAAGGAATATTTTGTTTTATAAACTCGAACTGTTAAAGTTCAAATTCAAGCAAATTCCAATAAAACCTTCCTTCTTTGTAAGCATCTTGATTGGAAAGCCAAGAATATGCAGTAGTTGATGCCATTATACATGAACGGTCATAGTTAGACGATGCTACTTTTCGAATATAAGAAAGTAAGGAATAACCCTATAAGCACTTCCATCTTGGTAAGGATTTGCAATAATTGATTAAATCGGCCAAGAAAGTTCATAGTCAAATGGAGCTACCTCAGAGTTATAAGCAGGGAGATGAAAGATGCTGCCAGTTGCAATGTCTGCGATTTTTTTCTTATTTCAAGTGTTGCCATGTTGTCGACACTATTGTGTCTTCAACCTTTAAACGCTTCTTTCTTCTTAAATTATTTAATTTTGGTTGGTCACTGTTTTTGGTGATTCCGTTGACCGTTAGGTTATTATAGTTCATATGGTGTGATCTTAGGGATGTTACAAGGGAGAGGCAAAACCTAGCCCATAGACATTTTCACGAATGCTTTCTTTCTTCCCAACTTTAAGTTCTCCGTGAACGATTCAGTTTGGGAGCCACTGCTTTAAGTTGATTCCGTTTACCAGAAAAAGTTATAATCATATGGTGCTACCTTCAGGATGTAAGAAAGCAAAACACTGCTTCTTTCTATTGCTGCGAACTCTGCTTGTATCAAACACAAGATATTTTTGCCACGGTGATCTACTGGTGTTTAGTCAATGCTGATTAAAGGAACTTCCTTTTTGGTAAACCTCATGGTTAGAGTACCCACGGCTTACAGTTGATTTCATTGACAAGGAAAGTTTATAATCAGATGGCGAGACCTCAGGGTTGTAGGCAGGCAGAGATAAAACGCTGCTTATTGCCATTTATGAGAATTTTTCTTGGCATGTTAAATATGCACGGGAGCGTTGTCTTCGTTGTCTTATACAGAAGTTTAAATAAATTTTAGGTTTAAAAAATTATATCAATTATTCAATTACCTGAAAAAGTCATAGCGTGACGATACTTATTCAATACTTACTCTATCCATTTCTTCGAACTTCGCTTGTTTCAAACGCAAGATGTTTGTCTTGTTTGGTTGGTCAGGATATTTTGTTTAAACTAAGGCAATTTAGCACGTAATGCTCTTAGCGTCGCTTTAATAAACTATAAAGCAATTGTTTCTTAATGTACCTCTTGATTTTGGCTGATTATGCATGCATTGGTCGGTAACAGTCATAGTCAAATTCGCACCATCAGAGGTATAAAAAAAAAGGAGGCTAAACCCTGCCATTTGCCATTTCGATAGTGCAGTTCACTACATTTTGTCATAGGTGTTGAGCTAATAGCTAATGTGACAATCTGGAAAAAGGTCAACACCTCCGTGCTCTTTCTTCTTGGCGAAACACCTGTGAGTTTGGTCCTTTGGTTTGGACTACTGGCAATCACGAAAATTGACTTTTTAACTGAACATTTCGGAAGTCAATAACGGTATAATCTGCCTTCCATTTATCGCTGCAGTGTTGGTCTTACTACAAGCCAAAAGTACACGTGATTTAGATAAAACGGAAATTGTATACAATCAATATATTGCAGTCGTCTGACAAATATGATTGTACTGATTAGTCAGATAAAATTTAAGATTTAAGATTCACATGAGCTTCCACATCAACTCTCCATGTCGACTCTAGGAACGCTGTTTCTATTACAGGGCTATTTTTACAAATATTTACTAAATCGATCTATTTATTTCCTTAGGTACAATCTAAAACAAAACTTGAAAAATCAGTTTCGCCAACAAAACACTTTTCAGCACTTGCCATAGATGACCACATCACATACTCCTGGAAGGAACTCACAGTTAAGAACAGCAATAGCTGTTGCCAGAAAGCTGCCAATAAGCTGACGCAAAAGCCGATCGTGAAAAAAGCCCTCATCACTGACGGTAAACCTAAGTAGATACGGTTTAATTTTTCTTGTCTGAAACGATTATTATTATATTTTAATGTTTAGTCTATGGAGAGGCGAAACCTGGCGAACTCCTGGCCATCATGGGCTCGAGCGGAGCCGGAAAGACGACACTCCTCAACTGCCTTACATTTCGAACCGACAGGAATCTTGAAATTTCTGGATTCAGGATGATTAACGGGGTGCCGGTTAACAGCAGAACAATAGCTGCAATTTCCGGCTACGTGCAACAAGTCGACTTATTCATTGGCACACTCACCGTCAAAGAAAGCTTGATCTTTCATGTAATGCTGTACTTTTTTTTAAAAACTTCTTTCTACAGTTTTTACTTTTTACAGGCTATGCTGCGCATGCGGAAGGGTATGCCTTTTGCAAATAGGCTAGCTCGAGTTGAAGAAGTTATGTTGGAGGTAAATGTTTATTTAGTGACTGGGAGTTTTGGTGGCCCCATAAAGGGCCGGTGTTGTTTCGTAGATGGATCGAGGCCAAGACCGTGTGAGTAGTGCCGTTGGTGGTGGTCTGTGACCGAGTAAACCGTTGGCTGAGGTCCGGGGGGCGTGAGTCGGTTGACTTCAGAGAGGCCGAAGGTATTCGAGTGCAGCAATTAGCCGAGAGCAGCAGTTGGCGTTTATAGCCAAGTCGGCTGTGTTTAGAAGGCGAGAATCAGCTTAATGCTGCGAGTACCCTTGCTGTAGCCGACGGTGTTCCAGTAGTGATTTGTGAGAGCTCGTCGGGTTGACGAGTCTGCTGTCGTTGTTGATTAGTGATGGCCACTACAATTAAAAAAAAAACCAAAATTACTATATAGTACGAATCCTCATTTGACCGTTTCATTGTACCTTTATTCAATGCACTTTATATGTTCATTTACTGTCAAAAAATTGAAACGCGAATTTAAGAAGGGAAAACCGAGATTCGCTGTCTTCTGGGACACTTTGGTCAAGAAGCTCTAGATGCGATGGTGTCGTCTTAAGAACTTGAGCAGTGAGTGGTGCGAGGTCAACTGGTGGCGGATTGGATATCCGGTTGGTCAAATGATTAAAAGAGCAAGGAAAAAAACTGCTTCGCACTTTAATGAAGTTTTTAGAAACAATTTACTTCGCTTTAATCAATATTAACATGACAGCAATACAAATAACATTCACATTCTTCGAGTTGTTTTCATGGAAGGAATCTTGAACTCTTATACCCTGTTTATATCCCTATCGTCATATCAGCTCAATCCTTCTTCTTGGTCTGAACCAAAGTAACATAGAGTTAGAAGAGATGTCCACTACTGATCAATCAGATTAACGTAACGATGTAGCAAAACTTTATTCGAACACACCCTTAGAGTTTAAGGCCAATATTCGCACATGGAAGGAATCGTGACACCCTGTTTATATCCCTGATGTCTCGACACGGTTCTACTGTTCTTTATTGGCTTCGAAACTGAAGTAGTATCATTACCAAATTACATAGACTTATTGGGTTAAAGTAATTAATTTTGTTCTTTCCGTGAATGGAAAAGACTATCAGGCGGTGATGTCAGATTTATAAGCAAGGTTAGTCGAATTTCGTTATTCCAACATAGAAGTATAAATCCATCATTCGGTATAAATCCTTCAGTTCCAAAGTTGGACAAATAAAGTGTCTGGAGGAATTCCGTGAAGGAGTCAACGCCTTGCCCCAACCGGCTTATTTCCCTGACATTTGACTCCAGCCGTATCCGTTTAACAATGCATCTTTTTCTTAAGGAAACTTTGTATACAAGTTTATATCTAGTCAATTTGTATACAAGTTTGGCTTGAATTTCGAGGTGTTTTGTTGTCCTAAGACCTTGAGAAATTTCTTCCAGCTTTTTATTGAATTTTATACGACTTGGTTGAAACTCATTGTAACTAATGCATGATTTTAATTAGCTGAATTTGAAAAAGTGTGAAAACACGATCGTCGGAATACCCGGAAAGATCAAAGGCATATCAGGAGGAGAGATGAAAAGGCTGTCTTTTGCCGCAGAGGTTAGCAGTTTTTTCTATTCTTCTTTCTTCTTCTCATCGAGGATTCTTCCAGGTGCTCACGGATCCTCCGATACTCTTCTGCGACGAGCCCACCTCCGGTCTGGACTCGTTTATGGCCCAGAACGTCGTATCGGTGATGAGAGAGATGGCGAGAAAAGGCAAGACCGTCATCAGCACCATCCACCAGCCATCATCAGAAGTGTTCGCCATGTTCGACAAAGTCGTGTTCATGGCCGAGGGAAAAGTCGCATTCCTCGGCAGCCATTCTCTCGCCGGAACCTTTTTCAAAAGGTGTACCCTATTGACATAACTATTTTGCAGAACTGCTTTTACTCACGCCTTCTTCAGTTTAGGCTCAGAGTGTCCGACCAACCATAACCCAGCGGATTATTACATACACCTGCTTGCTATCGCCCCAGGCAAGGAACGTGAATGTAGACACACAATAGCCATGATATGTGATGCCTTCAGTAATAGCAAAACGGGGTTGAGATTGAGGAGCGTAATGGAGAGCGGTGACAAGGCAAGTGGTGTATACACAGTCAGTTTTTCCTGATTAACGACTCAATGCTTACAGGAACTTATCGAAGCATCACATAGGTTGAAAAAGAAGTCACAATACAAGGCAGATTGGTGCCAACAGTTCGTAGCAGTGTTTTGGCGTTCTTGGATAAGCGTGCTGAAAGATCCTTCTCTGCTAAGAGCAAAACTTATACAATCTATAGTAAACATTTTAACCTATAACGTTTTTACGTTATAAAAACATTTTAAACTATAACACATATATTTTTAATTTTGTATGAAATTTTTATTTTAGATGGTAGCTTTGATTATTGGTCTGATATATTTCCAACAGAAACTTGATCAAGACGGTGTCATGAACATTAATGGTGCTATATTTGTAGCTTTAGCAAATATGACTTTTCAGAACATGTTTGCCGTGATTCATGTAAGGAATAGAATTAATTTTTTGAATTTAGCACCAGTCAGTTACTTTTAGGTCTTTTGTGCCGAGCTGCCGATTTTCATGAGAGAGCACAGCAACGGGATGTACAGGACGGACGTTTACTTTCTAGCAAAGACCTTCGCCGAACTGCCTTTATTTATAACACAGCCGACGCTTTTCACTTCTATCGTATACTACATGATCGGCATGAACCCTGATGTGGAAAGATTTCTAGGTGCGACAGCCGTACTGGTACTCATAGCAAACATCTCTACATCCTTCGGTAATTTTTTTTTTTTGTCAATTTTCTCGGACTTTTATTAATTATTGATTAATTTTAGGTTATGTGGTATCTTGCGCTTGTTCGAACGTTGGAATAGCTTTGTCATTGGCTCCTCCGATCGTCGTACCTTTTTTGCTGTTCGGGGGTTACTTTTTGAACACGAGGTTTGAACATAAATACAATAAATATGGGGAAAAAATTATTAAAATATTTTTTAAGGTCTATCCCGTGGTATATCGCTTGGTTCCAACACTTGTCCTGGTTCAAATACGGCAACGAGGCCATGCTTATCAACCAGTGGAAAGGCGTGGATAACATCCCGTGCACCAGAATGAACACGACTTGTCCAAAGAACGGTCTTATCATATTGGAAACGCTTAATTTTAACGAGGTGAGCCAAACAACCAAATAATCCGTGGCCTGCAATGATTTGTGTTTTATTCTGCAGAAGAACTTCACATATGATATGTTCATGTTGACGGCATTGCTGGGTCTGTTCCGTTTGCTGGCGTTCTTCGCTCTGCTAATCAGGTCCATTTTCAAACTTGTCTGATCGGGAAAAGCCTCGAAAGGACCTGGCAACTGAATAGCACACGAAGTCAAGAAAAACTGTATTTAATGTGGGCAGTTTTTTAAAAATAAACATTTTTGATTTTTGTGTACCATTCGTCGAGATTAAAATAAACCTGGCGAAATGAAAATGATTTTTTTTTTAACAAATCATGTAACAGTTTAATTTTCATATTATAAATCGGGTGTTTTTAAGAATTATTCTTTATATACTCTCTACACTACTTTCAACCTTAAAGAGTAAAATTCATACTATGATCACTTCTAGTTTTCTTAGTATAAATATTTTTCGTGTTTTTCTGAAATAAGGAAAAGCGGACCCATTTGTGATTGACGATCAACGCAGGCCTAGACTCAAAAATAGCGCTGTGCTTCTTCATGGGCAGGATGCTTTTGATAATACCTCACATGAAGGGAAGCATCAAGGGAAAAGATTACAGACATCTATGTGCAATTGCCTCTTTAACCTACGTGGAGGGTTTGGAGAGATCCGGGGGGATGATAATTGAGGTTAATGTTGACTGGGAGGATGGTGTAACTGGTTGTACTAAGGGCATCTTCCCTATGGGCCTAGACAAGGTCCTACCATCAGCTCTGGCGTCTAGGAGTAACCAGATGGAGGCAAATCCCCTACCTTCCTATTCCTATCCTTTCCTTTCCCCCCTCCATTTTGGTGGAGGCCTCCTATGTCACTGAACCCTCACCCCTCGGATAACGGAGGAGGGAGGCCACCCCCGGGTGGGCGGATATTCTCACCTTACAAATAATACTGAACCACGGGAGGGGGTGATTAAGTAGTCCCTAATTGAGGTTGGACTCGTGGTGGTCGTGGTTTGTACATAACTTGTACCTCAGCTGGAGGGTACCAGACAACCGGAGACAGAGGTAGAGCTACTCTCATCTACCTCTCCGGGGGTGGTTGAAGGTGGAAACACTGGAAGCCACCAAACTCCTGGGAGTGTTTCGGCACCCCTGGGCGTCTGGTAAGCCTAGCAATAGGCAGGTAAGGACGTTAAATAAACCCTGAGTCCGTATTGGACAAAGGGAAGACAGGGAATTATGTACTAAGGCCATTGTGGATTGTTTCATTGGATAAGTAGAAGGATTTTTCTAATGATTATTCGGAGATAGTGAGATGCGGTCTGGTGTGACGTAGGTTTTACAAAAACATTTTCTTTATCGTGCCAACGTTTCGATCTTTATTGAGATCATCTTCAATGATCTTTGAGGGCACTCTCAACACGATACACAAGAATGGCAGAAAACTAACACTTTGAGCCCTGAAGATGATCTCAATAAAGATCGAAACGTTGGCATGGCACAGAAAATGTTTTTCTAAAACCTACGTCACACCAGACCGCATCCCACGATTTCCGAATAATCATCGACTAACGGTCACTAATCACCACTCAGATTTTTCTAATGATTTTGGATTGGGATGTTGGAACGGTTGGCAGAACCCCGAAGTTCTAGTCCATAAATCCAGATCTATTTTTGATACTATTGTAAATTAGTGGTTTGCTAGTTAGTGATGTATTTGATCTTTTGTCATGAGTATTGTAACGTCTCGTCTTCTAGTTTTCGTCGGCGGAGAGTAAAAATAATGTTTATTGATTGATGTTAAGTTTAATTCCCTTAGTCCTGCGCCATTGTTCTATTAAATGAAGATGTTGCTGCAGGTTACGTGCCTGAATGAAGTGAAAGGATCGATGTAAGAGGAGGGAATTGCTGTGACATGACCAAGGGTAAGGATACAAGTGACAGGGATATCAGATGTATAATCTGATAAAAGACGGGGTTAGGACACTACCATGCGGGGTGAAATATTAATGAAGGATGCTTTCTGTTAGGTTTCCTGACACGGAAATACCAGTTATCGAGGTAGCTACTTTGGTAATAGGTTGATGAGAAGATGGCCTTGAGTGGCGACATCATGGACATAGACGATTTTTTAGAACACCTCTCATGTTGCCACCAAGGGGTGTACTATCGACACTCTTCTGTTGGTGGTTAATGATTGTAGAGGTAAATAGGTTAAGATTCCTTACCATAGGTTATGCTGATGAGGTTGTGGTAAAATAAAAGGAAAATATGATGAAATTGTTTCAACTCAAATACAAAGTGTCTTCGATTTAGTGGAAAGGTAGTATTGGCAAAGCACAGACAGAGACGACTCTCTCAGGGGAAAATGAAAATGAGAAATATCATCAGAGACATCAACAGCCCCTGTATTAGTTACGAGCTTCTTCCTTGAAACTATTTTTATTTGAAAGGGTTTGTCATTTTTAAAACCATTTTGTGAGACATTGTAGTAACCTTTTCGTAAATTATTATCCTTGTTTAGGATTTTATGGTGGCTTTCTCTTAGGTTTTATTTTATTCCTCTATTGCCAGACTTAAGGAAGTAAAACAAAATGTAAGACCACTTATCCAGCGCTCATCCATCAGGGGATCCAAACATGAAGAGGTTTGCTGGGCTTAGAATAGATCATTGTAAGCTCACCCAATCGTTCCTCTTATGAGGAGGACCATCCATTTTGTGGTACTCATGGAGTAAAATTGACAGTAAAACATGTTTTGTCAAATTGCCGAATATGAAAATCCCAGAAGACTACAAATTTTCTAACCAGATTGAGGATATTGGTGACCTTACTGAATATCTCAAAGCTACAAAATCGATGTATAGTATGTATATAGACTGTAATAGAAAAGGTGAGAACCGGAATCAGTTGTCCAGAGGTTTTGAGGTGTGGGGTCTTGGTGCCTGTCGGTTGGTTTGTGCTTCTAAAATCATTGGGCATCTCACATACATGATCGCACCGCACCCGAGGCCTACCGAGCTAGTTCCTGGGAAACGATTTGAGGTAGGGTGACTGGAGGTGAATCTTTTCCAAAAGGTGCTAATGCCCGGGGTCTATGTCTTCATCCAAGGCTCACGAGCCGAGTTATACTTCCAAGGTCTCGCCGACCAAATTTCGTAACTCGAGGTCAAATAAGACGGGCCTGTACTGGGAGATTGTCAGTAGATGGAGTACTTACACCTGGGTTCGCAGTTAAAACGTTACCGGGAAGTTTGTCATCAGAAGAGGAGCTTCTAACGATTCATAGCCAATACCTACAACCCAACCCGTCAGTTCCTCCCTTGATGAAGAGCAATTCTAACGATTGTAAGCCAGGGGTCAACCCTTAAGCTTGAGCACTTACTCAATTAACCCCATTTTTCCTTATAAGACCCGGAAAAGAGAGATCTGTGCCATAAAATACCCAGCCTTTGAACGGATGCCAAGTTGAAAAGATTAAGCCTCAAGACATGATAAAGGTGTATGCCTGGACATCCGCTGAGCCGGCTTTTCAGCCTCACAATTTCAAAAAACATTTAAGGCGGATAGTAAACCAAAGTGGAGTACTTTTATAAAAAGAGTAAAAAGTGTCTTCTGCGGTATATATATAACGGAAAACAATCAATTACCACTTCTGTGGGAACCAATTGTACTTAAAAATGTAGATATTTTACGGAGAAAATGATATTACATTCTAATTCAGGGTAAACAATTTAAAAAGCAGTTTATTACAACCTGCTCTAGTCGCTTTAGAAAAACAACTGCTATTTAAAATATTTTATTTGAAATTTTATACGATACGGTGGCCTCTGGTGTCTAAGAGCGATTTTCCTTCTTCTTTTGTTTTTCCCAGCTTGAATTATCGATTGACTCTCACTCGCGAGTCCTCGTGTTTTTAACGGAGATAAGAAAACCGTTTAATTCTGATTTTCAAAGGGGGAAAACGGTAAAATCCAAAATTGCTTGGGGGTCGGGTGCAGATGTGATTTTGGGTCTCGTGTCACTCCTTCGTTGGGCCTTAGGAAGCGATTTGTGTACATCGGATCTGCCGCAGATGTATGTATAGCGTCCTTTTCAACAGTGGCTCTGGACTTCGAAGGGGAACTTCTTGAGAAGTGCTCGCGTGAGGATGACGGAGAATTGAAGAAAGGCCGGACTTTCCCAAATCACATGTCTTCGGAAAACTTGGAGGTAAATAGTGAACACATGTTCCAAAAATCTAAATTCCAAATATTTCAAATTGCCCTTCTATTTAATTAAAATGGTTTTGTCTCAGTGTCATGTTTTAATAATATAAACTGGATATTTAAAATAACATTAAATATTTTATCCCAAAAATAATTTTGATCAGCTATAAAATTAGTAGTTTCACTCTATTGGGAACCATAAGCACCAAATAATATTATTCATAGATAAACTTTACAAACGAGAATTGTTCACAATGGTACGGCGAAATTGTCACATTTCTTGACTTTCACTTTTTGAAATACGACGGCTTTTACACACAGGTTGATTAAAACTATCTAAATTTCAAGAATTATACGATCAACGTCATACTGAAGCATTAGAAACACGTCTCTCTAGACATGAATTGTAAAAGTATTTCACGTAACTCTTACAATTCATGTCTAGAGACGGGTTTGTAACTCCTTCAAACTGATGATGAGCGTTTAATGCTTGAAATTGGTAGTTGTACACAACAACCTGTAAGAACCATCCTTTAAACAAAGTGGATCCACACCCTTCCTTTATTATTCCTTTTTTCCTCCTATTTCTTTAACTTTTACTTGTGAAATAGCGAAAAAGAATAGTAAAGTGTAAATACAATTTTTTTAAATTACAAAAACAGAAAAGATAGTCGATTGCATCGCTGTAAAACGGCTGACGGTATAAGTAAAGCGTGCACAAAAGACATAATGACTATTTCCATCAAGTCAAAATATGTTCCTCTAAAAAAATAGATTTTTTACCCATTTTTATAGCAAAGTTAAAGTGTCTAGTTAATTAAGCTAAAGACAAAATCCAGAAAAGCCAGATTGGTCAAATTCCAGAATACAATTTTTTTTATAGCGTAAAACTGCAAGGAACAAAAAAGACACGTGTCAAATTTAAATCATCGAGCTTAATTGTATAATTTTACATCTTTTACTTTTTAAAACTTTACAATTATTGGTCCGTTTATTGTCGCATTTATTAGTAGGGTTAGCAAATAAAGAGAGACGAATTGTTAAACTTTTTATCAAACACTTTGCATCTATCTGTTGGTCTAGAACCCAAACCTGACGAGATCTTAACAAAATGAGTTGATTTCATCAAAGCCGTCTAAATTTTGACAACCCAGCACTATTTGCCTATTTTACACTTGAAATTTTCATACAACTGAAAATATTCCAACATTTCATCAAACACAATTGTCATCAATCAATTCTTAATATTTTACATTATGTAAAAACATTATGAACATTGTAAATTTTACATTATGGATGGTCGATGCATCTTGTGTATTACTAGATTTCAGCCAAAACTGCTGCCTGCAATCTGCAGGTTGTGTTCAGTCCGAACCTCACAGTCCCTCACAATATGGCTTCATGAATCATCTAATTTGAGTCAAAACAATATATTCTAGTTGAAAATAGATTATACATATTTTCAATGCCTTTGTCTAGAGTTTAGTAACTACATAGATTCCAGACAAAACAACCTGAATGACCTGATAAAATCCAAATTTTTGACGATTTAATGCTCTATTGGTCACTGAAGGCATGAAACAATTTTCACATTTGCACACTAAATGGTTGTTTGTTGAAAATACGACCTTATCTATTATTCTACTAAATATTTCTGATTAACAATAAAAAGCTTGAATGGAGAACTGGTCCAAATTTAAAAATCTGACTGGGATCAAATTTTTGATATCTAAGTAAAATTCTCTAACGAAAATATGCCGTATATACAGATGTTCCAAAATATGTCTCATTCCACACAAAATACCTATAATGGGTGAATCAGTTGCATTCCATGTTTTTGTCAATTTTTTTTTCAACACATTCAATACGAATTCAGGCAAATAAATGCATTCACACATATATACATTGCATTCATTCTATTTAGTATAGGGAGTACTGAATTCCTCCATCGACCTGCATACAATAACAAACTAATCTAATTGGAGTCATTAGGGTACTTTTATAAATATTCTGTCATCGACCCGTCGAGTACACAGCTTAAGGGGTGATGGGGATGCTATTCCACCATCAGCCCCTCTCCATTCACTCTAATAAATACACTCACTCAAACAAAACACATATTTTGGCAGCTATATACAATAAAAAATTCTCAATTCCGCTAAAAAGCAGAACAGGAGACCCTGAAACTCGCTACCGAGAACCAATCTTAAATCCGGCAGCATGGCTACACCCTCTCTGTATGGAGCGAAGGCATGGCTTACCTGTATTATGTGGGGCATATCTTTGGCCGAAAATCACGTGCCCGCGTAATACAAAAAATCTATTAACCATTTATCGATCTGCAAACCCGCAAAGCAATTTCCCAAAGTGCTTATTCATATCAACAATTTGTTGAAAATTTAACACTATTTGTATAAACTCTCTATAGCCCTATATAATTACAATATTACTAAATCTATTCTGTTAAATTATTCATTTAGAATAGGGCAAAAATTAATAAATTTGGATATTTTAAATCACAAAACTTCTTAAATCTTGAAGAAACAAATTACAAAAAAAAAGTCATTTCTATTCCTACAGAACTGATTAAAGGCACTTGCAGGATATTGTACATTACATTTGACCACTTGACTCCAATGAAACAAATTCAGAATATAATAAACTACGATGATAATATTATACCATAGAATATAACAAAGAATGAAAAATGCTAGAAAAATATTTAGCAAGAATCATGCTTACATGTGAAAATAATCAAGCTTCTTCATCGTTCTTCTTTTACTCACCAAAAATTATAACAAAATATTAGGTTAACCTTATTAAAAAAGATATGCTCATTCGTGTAACACAATTTTCTGAAAACGACAAAAAATTATATTTAATGATTATTTGGTGATCATGAGATGCGGTCTGATGTGATGTAGGTTTAGAAAAACATTTTGGCACTACACACAATAGTGACATATTTACACAGAAAACAAACACTTTAGCCTTGAAGATGATCTCAATAAAGACAAAACATTGGCATGATAAAGAAAATGCTTTTCTAAACTTATGTCACACCAGACTGCATCTCACAATCTCCAAATAATCATTAACTAACGGTCAATAAACACCACATATTATATTTAATATAGCATATTTCACTATTACAACAATATAAATAACATATTGACCTGTTTTTCAATACAAGCCTGTACCACATTTAATTCAAACAATATTTTGTATTGAATGTTACAACTATAGTGCAACTAGCAAACTATGTTGTTATTTCATATAAACTAATAAATTAAAAAATCCTGGGAACAAGTCATATTTTCTGTAAATTTATTAAATTCATGTACATAGAATACAATTTATACTTTTACAGTAATAAATTATTAATAATACAAATATCAAGTTAAGCAAATGAAGGCCCTGGTTGTCTTACAAAGTTTCATAAAATGTTCACAAAATTGCTATTTTTAAGGTAAACAATTGAATATTAAACCTATTTTTAATCAGAATTTAAGTAAATTAAAAGTGTTTAGATTTATTATTTTTTTAATTTATTTGAGTTGATAAGAAATATAGACGTAAATGAGAAATGTTTAACATATTTTTGTTCCATTTTTAGGTGAACACCTCCACCACCCAACTGGAAAAGCCTGAAATTTCGTCTCAAAGCGAATTTTCGGCATTTATGCGAGATGGCCTCATCAATTACACATGGCAAGACATGTCCGTCACTGCAGACATCCCTTTAAGCAAGAAATTCATTTCCTCACTAAGAAGAAAACCGATTGTACAAAAAAATCTTATACAAAATGGTAAACAGAGTTTATTCCACTCATCCGAACTTGTTTAAAAATATTCTGTATTGAATGATTATTATAATTGAATGATATTAATTGGTCAAGCGGACCACAAAAATAGTTAATTTAATATTCTGTATAGTTTACGGAGAGGCGAGGCCGGGCGAGTTACTCGCCATAATGGGGCCGAGTGGATCTGGAAAGACGACGCTGCTCAACTGCCTTACGTTTCGAACAGACAGACACTTGGAAGTTTCTGGATTAAGGCTTGTAAATGGAGTGCCGGTGTCCAGCAGAACACTGGCTGCCATTTCCGGCTATGTACAACAAGTCGACTTATTCATTGGCACACTCACCGTCAAAGAAAGCTTGATCTTTCATGTAAGAGAGTAAAAAATAAAAAATGCTTCTAGTATTAAGCCTTTTATGTTTATAGGCCATGCTGCGGATGCAGAAAGATTTACCTTTGGCTCAAAGACTAGCTCGAGTTGAAGAAGTTATGTTGGAGGTATTCATAATCTCTCACCTACTGTTATAATTAATAAACATTTGTTGAAAATCTTTCTAATTAATTATTATATCTTTCTAATTAGTTGAATTTAAAAAAATGTGAAAACACAATCGTCGGCATACCTGGTAAACTGAAAGGCGTTTCTGGAGGGGAGATGAAGAGGCTTTCATTCGCTACAGAAGTGAGACGGGCTAAAAGCAAAAGTTAGAACTCATGACATAGAAATCTCAAATTATTATAGGTCCTCACTGATCCTACGTTGCTCTTCTGTGATGAGCCAACTTCAGGGCTTGACTCATACATGGCGCTGAATGTCATCTCTTTAATGAGAGACATGGCGAAAAAGGGGAAAACCATAATCAGCACGATACACCAGCCGTCTTCAGGAGCATTTGCAATGTTCGACAAGATTTTGTTCATGGCCGAGGGAACCCTAGTATTCCTCGGTACACCTAAAGAAGCCAGTATTCTATTTGAAAGGTAAGTTAAAGAAAATATTTATACTTAAAAAATATTGGTCTAAATTTTACTGTCTTTAGTAAACCAATGATTACGATTTTAAATTTTTACTAAACATCTCAGCTTAGGCGCTATATGCCCGAGTACGCACAACCCGGCTGATTTTTACATCCACGTACTTTCTGTCGTGCCAGGCAGAGAGGAAGACTGCAGGGCGATGATAATGAAAATATGTGATGGTTACTGCAAATCCGAGAGGGGGATGAGAATGAAATCGTACACCACAAATTTGACGATGGTGAGCCTCACTTTTGGTTTTTCCAAATTGACCTTTTAACATCTTACTTTTACTTAAGGCCCAGTCTGACTTGATATCTTCCAAAATGAAAAAACATTCCAAGTATAAGGCGAGCTGGTTGCAACAATTTGTTGCTGTGTTTTGGCGATCTTGGATCAGTGTCCTGAAAGACCCGACAGTGCTACGGGCGAAAATGATCCAAACAATTGTAATAAGATTTACTCAATGAAAATCTATGCTAACTTGACTAAAAATTTGTTTCAGCTATTGGCCATGCTGATCGGGCTGGTGTACTTCCAGCAAGAACTGGATCAAGACGGTGTCATGAACATCAACGGCGCTATTTTCATCTCTTTAGCAAATACAACTTTCCAAAATGTATTCGCTGTAATCGATGTAAGAAACACAACACCTGATTTTCACATCTGGGTTACAGAGATATAAATTTTCAGGTTTTCTGTGCCGAACTGCCTATATTCATGAGGGAATGCACTAACGGGATGTATAGATCCGATGTATACTTCTTGTCCAAGACATTGGCCGAATTTCCAATATTTATTGCCCTTCCTTCATTATTCACAACGATCATTTATTACATGATTGGGATGAATCCTCCCATTGAAAGATTTTTAGGAGCAATGGTCGCAATGATACTCGTCGGAAATTGTTCTACATCATTCGGTATTATCATTTATTACATACTCTGTAGAACAGTGTTTCCCAAACAGTGCGCCGGAGCTCATCTAATTACAAGTGCACCGCAAAAACTTTGTATAAAAAATATTAATATTTTTATATTTATAAAAAAAAACCTAAAACTAACCCCCCTTTAAAACCCTAAAAACTTAGACCCTGGTGGCCATCCAATCTCAATATGGATGATAACGAGACAGCTGAATTGTGTATTTCATTAGATATTCTTTTTTTATCTAAGGTTTTAGTTGAGATGAAAAAGTTAGTGTCATAAGCGGGATTCAAACCCACGACCTTCGGCTCATTAAACTGTTCTAACCACTTGCGCTATCATGACTTTGATCCACTTGGACACTAACTCCTCATCTCAACCTACAACCTTTCAAATTTTCCCTCTTTTTAGCATTTGGGTGTGTATTTTATATTAAACAGAAAAATTTTGGGAACTGCTGCTGTAGAACATTCATAATAGTAGCCTGATGTACTTTATTTCTAGGTTATTTGATGTCATGTACATGCGCCAACGTTGGCGTGGCTTTGTCTGTAGCACCACCAATTGTGATCCCTTTCTTGCTATTTGGAGGGTATTTTTTGAACACTAGGTACTCACATTAATTATTTATTTTTAATGACAAAAATTTAAACAATTTTATTTAAAGGTCAATTCCGAGTTATTTATCTTGGCTCCATCACTTATCCTGGTTTAAATACGGGAACGAGGCGCTCCTTATAAACCAATGGAAAGGAGTCGAACACATCAAATGTACTAAAGTAAACACGACTTGTCCACAAAACGGTTTGATTGTCCTGGAGACAGTGAATTTCAGTGAAGTGAGGGATATTTATTGCTTTCCACCTTGCTGCCTCGTTTAATTTTTTTTTTTCTTTCAGACAAATTATTACATCGATCTAATTATATTAGTAGTTATAGGAATCGGATTTAGATTTATTGCATTTATTGCACTGCTAATTCGAGCTACATTTAATATCATGTGACTTAAAAAATGTCAGAAAGGTAAAAAGGAACCCTTCTTTAAAATGAAAAGAAGCTCGTTTTATAATCTTATACAATTTTAAAAATAAACATTTTATTTGTATGATAACATTTTGACTATTTGGTTTATTGTTTCATTACTATTTATGTTTAAAAAAGGTTTGATTGTCCTAGAGTATGCATACATTCTTTACTATTTACATTTCATTAATTCAAGTAGGATGTTGAGTACTCATTCTTCCTCCATCAGCCCTCTCGCACAGCACATTCACTCTAATAAATACATTCACTCTTAATAAACAGAAAACAAAATATCTGCCTAATATTGTACAGAATAAAACATCCTGGTTTTCTGTAAAAATTGGAAGAGAGAACGCAAAGACTCGCTGCCCTGTTTAAGCATAATTCTTTCTCTCTATTGGCTGACATTTCTATTCGTTTTCTATATGGATCCATCCAAGATCGTGACATCCTTCAATTATGAGGGACACATCGAGCAACCTTCCTCTACATGCCAGACACATACATGGGCTTTAGCCCATAGTAAGGGTCCGTTTGTCACTTACTTGGTCTATTGGGTGATGATGACCCTTCTTCAAAGAGGGACCTTTGGGATCACCTATCTACAGTGCTCTTGATAAGGGATAGCTTCTCCCCGATCATACACTACCACTTTCTTTTAATTGGGTTTTTATTGCACTTTTAGCATCAGAGAGCCTGATTGCAGTGGTTAGGTCTGTAGGTTGGGACATCCTACGTTTGATACTCTCTAGACATGTGTCCAAAGACCCAGACAACTTTTTTTGACAGGATACTCCAATTCATGGAATCTCCCTAACGAGAGAATGGCACAATCCACAGTAATTGTGCTCAGGGAGATGGTGCAGATAAGGTAGACAGAACCCCTATTATCTTAAATTAGCCCAAGTGTGTGCCCAATTGCAGACAATTCTGCCATGAACGTGAGGTGAATGCACCATCTCTATACACGGTCATCGTCAGTGACAAAGACCAAATATGCGATGAAAACTGGTGAACCTTGTTCAAAGTTTCAAGAACTTAATACGAAGTTGATAACTTTGTGAGATCATCCCATACAGCCAGAAGGACTCAAGACTGAATCGGCCGGTTACTCAGCTTGAGTACCATTTCCAGTATCATCCCATCTTACAGCTTCACCAAAACATATTCCCAGGTCTGAAGATAGAATTTGATCGTGCTTGAAAGTGGATACCCCAACCCTACTACATAGTCACGAATAAGCTGCTCTCTCTCCAGAGTTCTGGAGGCAGCACCCCTAGCTAGCTTGCAGCACAAGCTGTTCAAAGGGCAAGTTGTAAATACACCGGAACTTGCTTGAAGGGTAGAGCTTATTGTGCAATAACAAGCCATAAAACCATTTAATAGTGGCAAATTACATAATTATTTATTTACAATAACAAGATGAGTTGTAAATCAACCTTCTCTAATTCTCTAAATAGGGAAATCTCTAATTTTCCCCCCAAAAAAATTTGGCAGCTTTTGATGGAGCAGTGAAAATATGAGCCGATCTATCAGATTCTTGCCTTATATCTTCGAATAGCTACAAACCAATTCTGAAACATATCTAAATGAAAAATCAATGGGTGCCTTATAGACAATAGGAGCATTTTGTACACTTATACATTGAAGTCAAGAGCCACAGTTGTGTCTCATAGAGTCACTAAGTTTTTAAAATTACGGACTTGAATGTAAGTACATGAAGCAGAAACATGGGGAACAAGAAGTACTGATGGTCTCGAAATACTACTAATTCACCAAAACGAATAGTTGTGCAAAAATAGAATTGAAATATTCTGCTGCAACTCACGACGTACCTGTTCTGTTGAGGGTTAATATTATTACATAAATTGGTAAAAATATAATGAACTTGTACAAGGAATAAACCTATGGATCACTAATCTGGTGGAACAAAGCTCAAAAAATAGCTACCCAAACATTAGGCAGTATATAAAGGCTAGCAAACCTATGTATCACAGGGGCAATGAGAACAACCCTTACAAATGCATTAGAAACTTTGCCAAACCAACCTCCATTGGAAATATTCATACAAAGAGAGGCTAGGAAAAGCTCACTTAGGCTCCAGAAACAATTACATTGGAAAGGAACTAAACAATTCGGGCATACTACTATAATGAACAAAATCAGACACCCATTAGTAGAAATGAAGACTATATGAACCCGGAAACAATCTTCACAACTTCCTATAAATTCTCAACGGACTATAAAGGAGAGGAAGAACACAGGAGAGCATCAGATACAATGATATGGTAAAACATGAGCAATCAAACTCATTAGGGAAGTACACTTCGGTCTTTCAAGCAGAAATACATGCCATCAATGCTTGTGCCCTGGAAAATCTTAAAAGAGGCTACACTGACGAAAAAATCCTCATAAGATCAGATAGCCAAGCAGTCATTAAAGCATGTAAAAGAATCACATCAAAATTAGTTAGTGAATGCATCCAAAATCTCCAAAACCTGGGGAAACACATCAACCTGATGATATCTTGAGAGCCAGGGCACAGGGGAATTTTGGGAAACGAGAAAGCAGACAGTCTGGCCAGAGGAGGATCTGCAAGACCATACATAGGCCCCGAATCTATTCTTGGGATCACAAAAACAAATATAGAATCCTCCATCGCAGAATGGATCCAAACAAAACAAAAGGAGAAGTGGATAAACTCTAGCGGTGCCAGATATAGTAAACTTATGATGAAATAACCCTCACTAAGACTGGCAAAAGCACTACTGCAATTGGAGAGGGCCAAACTCACTGGCATCTGGGAAAACATCTACACAACATGGGTATATACAACGATGATCCCATTTGCAAATTATGTAATGAGGAGGAGGAAACAGCCACTCATATCATCTTCGAATGCGAAGCAACAGCTCAATGGAGATTTAACCTAACGTACGGAAAAAACTTAGGGAATCAAATTGCAGCAGCGACAGTCAATGACCTGATACTTCTAAGTAGAAAGATTGAGTCTACTAAGGAACTAGGAAGGTACAATAAGCCAGAAGGCTGCAGTGCCTGGGGAGTGAAAACCCCACTTCCTAGTATCCTTTTTCACCATACCATGTACAAGGAATAAGCCAACTCATCAACATAAAGACATGCTCATCAAAAGCAGCTACAAACCCACTAGCCTTCAGAAAAACAAACTTTCAAACTACATACAGACCTAAATATTCCTTTTGTCCCAGATGTAATCCACTCCCATTATCGCCAATTATATACAAACCTCCCAACCACCATAAATCCTCAAATAAATTTTTTTTTTTAAATCAGCCTGACAAATTCCCTATAAATTTCCACACCTATTAAAAAGTCGAAGGCAGCATGATCTTCCGTCCAGTGATAGTGAAACTAACCTTCATTAAATACAGAACACGTAAGAATCATAGGAGTGCTGCCAGTTGGTAGTTTCTTCTCTTTTTATTTATTTATTTTATACACTCGTTGTTATTAGCTACCCGATTGAAAGTAGTATATAAGTACACTATAAATAAATATTAAAAAAAAAAAAGTGAAAAAATATGAATAAATTTATATTGATCAGGTATAAAAGGCTAACATTTTAATCAGACATGACAAATTAACAAATACATACATAAAAAATTTAATAAACAGATTCAGCTTTAGCGGCATCCTTCCAGGCATTAGAAGTGCTGTGTATAATCGAAACAGTTTGGTTTACCAACTCATTATCTAAAAATAAAAACGATAATTTTAAAAAAATGTTCCTGTTGATGTTTTGACCTTCTTACCAAAAGATTCAGATATGTCGCCAGGAAAAGCAATATAATAGTCACATACAATGTGGTCTTTTGCCTTAACGATCCCATGCACTTCCACAACCCCACTCACGGGCTCGACTAACGGCTTCCTGAGCGATACGGTTAACTGTCTCTTATCGGTCGTTTCAATGTTAAACGACAAGCCGGATTTGTTAGTCTGAAATGTATCAAAAAGGTACTAAATTTTATTTTATTTATTTATACTTTGAAAATATTTATTTGTGTCCCATACTTGAATTATACAAATTACAAATTGTACTTAATGCTGTAAAATCCCTGGCAAAACACTATCACTATGGCCAGTATTGCACTGTGCAATCGAGGGCATGTGTTGTGAGAAGTTGGTCGATATTGGCACTCAGTTTGTTATCGGGTAAAGCAGAGGAATTGGAAGTCCAAATTGATTGCAATAGGGTTTTGTAAATTGCAAGTTTGTTTTACGTCAAAAGCTTGGATTATCGTCTTAAAAGTTTATAAAGTAGACTGTAGCATCTGTATAGGCTTTGTTGTTTCAATTGTATTTGCTGATTCCATGTTAGGCATGAGTATAGGTGGAACCCAAGGTAGAGTAAGCAGTTGGATTTGGGGATAGGAACGTGGTAGTATATTGTGAGAGAAGATTTGCTTCGGAGTGTAAATGTGACATGGATGCACTTGCTTTCATTTATCTTCATTTTCCATAGTCTACACCAATCTGCTAAATATGTGATGTTGTCTCTGCAGATATTCCAACACAACTGCAGGATTAAGGTTAGTGGATAATACAACTGTATTAGCAAAAGATGCAAGAAAGATGGTAGGTTTAGTGGGAACACCTGCAGTATAGTCAATTGGTCTGAGGACACTGCCCTGCGATACTCCTGTGGCCACAGAGCATTATTCAGAGTAATATGATCCTTGTCAGACTTGAAAGAATCGCTTTTAGATAAGAGCAGAGGACACCCTTGTGCCACACACGGTCAAATGCTTGTGTAATATCAAAAAAAGCTTCCATACAATATTCTTTGCGCTCAAGGGAAGAGGATATACAGTCTACAACGCGAAACACTTGCTTGACTGTGGAATGATGAGGCACAAGCAAAACTAATGATCTGGGAGAAGGTCAGAAGAGTTCAATATTGACAGCAGATTTTAAGAATTTTTTTCAAAATACTTTGGACATGATGGGATGAGGCTTTACCAGGTTTCGGGAAGTGGGTGATGTTCGAATATTTCCAAATTAAGGGAAAATGGGTAGTGCGAAATATACAATTGTAGAAATATGTGAGGAATACAATAGCTTTTTGAGGGAGTTGTTGGCGAAAACGCTAAGTGAACTAAATCGTTGATCGCTACCATACAAGTAATTATTAATGACGTAACATCAAACTTTTAAAACTGCTTGCATAAATGAACATACAACGTATTCAGATAAAATTGTTACGACAGAGTTGTTCCCGCCTGTCATAATGACGAGTAAAACCAATATTTCAATCCTTGACAAGGTCGTAATTCCATCTAATTAACGTTTAATTAAATAATGTTTAATTATGTTAATATATTGAAAATCGAAAATCACACCTGTAGGATGGTGCCGAATATGGTGACTTTTTTTCCGACGTATTCTGCCAGAATTCTTCCGTTGACGGGTATCCTGACTTCCGATGTAACGTTAGTAGCCATAATTATTGTTTAATAGTTTAAAATTAAATAAAAAGGGGGAAATACTTTAAAAATTAAATTAAATGCGGTTGTTATTTCAAAATCTTCACCCACAACCTTCTTGTAATTGAAGTATTGAACCGAGAAGGTTACTTAACAGAATTAGCAGGCGGGAAAACAGGTTGGGCAACATTTCCCTCCTAAATTTAAATAAATTAACAATTTTTTTGTGTTATAAAACAATTAATTTGATAATAATAAAGTTTAAATTAGTATCAAAAATAAAGTCTATACACAAAGGTTGAAAAAAAGTTAAGAAGAAACAATTATGTAAAGTAAATGAACCATAAAAAGTGCACATTTTATTTATCAATAAAAAAAAATTTTTTAAAACATTAATCACCTAATTTTTTTCTTTAGGAAGAACACTTTATTGATCAGTACAAATCACTACAGTTTTTATAACACAAAATCTAGTAGCATATGCTAATTGTAATGTAATTGTGCTAATGTGTAAAAGTGCAGTCCAATTACTACCCTTCATCAGAATTATAATTATTGACTTTGTCACCTGCATAATAATTTTCAGAAAATATAAGATTATCATTTATTAATAAATATTGCTATGTGTGACTCTACGTATTGACAAGCAGGAAATCTTGAGACAGCTTTCTCTTGAATCGTCGGCGATTGAAAGGAGGCAGGGGTCGTGCCGCGATTTGAGCAATTATTGGATTGATGTGGTCGGTCATCCTTGTATTAAGTTCTCTTTAGGCTTTTCTGGAAATCTGCTCTATCATTGGGATGTCTCGATCTTGATTCAGGGTACTGTTGCACACATACCACAGTGGCTTATATGATGAGACCAGATATATTATATGTTCAGCCCATGTCAATTTTGAGTCCAGGTGGATGCCTACGTAGTGCACAGAAGTGTTGCTAGGAATTGGCATTTCCGTTAAATGTAGTATCTCATTGAAGTGTTTACGACAAATGGTGAATGGTATGACTACTAATTTGGATGCATTTATTTTAACTTTGTTTACACCACACTGCCATCTTGTTTAGAAGTAATTGGAGATCTTCTTGTGCCATTTGGAATGAAGAGACTCTTTTTAATATTGCAACATCATTCACCAGCTGTGCCAGTATGGATGAAGTCGATGACAGGAAATCATGAGTATATATAAAATGTAGAAATGAACCCAGTACGCTTCCTTGAGGTACACCTATAGGTACGGACGCTGACAAGTTTTGACCACATTTGACAGTGAATGTTCGTTCGTATAGATATAATCTCAGTAGTCTGTACATGAAGTCTGTTAGATGTGGTCTCACTTTAAAAAGAATTCCTTCTTGTATAACTTTGTCAAGGCCTTTTCAGTGTCTATGAATACACCCAAGCACACTTGTTTTTTCCCATGTGTTTAATATTTCATCAGTGATGTGATGAATTTGTTGTGGCATGAGTGTTGTCAGAAGCCAAACTGTGTGTTTGGGAGGAGATGCGACAATTTACCAAGTAGCCTGGGGAACAATAACTTTTTAAGGATTTTTGATAGGAGTGATAGGTCTGTCGTTTAATGGGTCTTCAAATTTTTTGTTTGGATTTTTTTATAACCACAATATTGGCGTTTCCATTGCCATTAGGGGTAATGAGTTGTTCTAAAGATGGATGGCATTGTATATCTGTGTTAACATAATGTTCTTGGTAGTGCTTTTGATCATATTTTTCTTAAGTGACCTAAAATGAGTTGAAAATATGCAAAATATTTTTCCCAAATGAAAAAAAAAAAGAAGGGATAATATTAATACATGCAATGGAAACACTCTCATACTTCCACCAGAATCAGTTCACACAAAACAGGGAGTAGGTGTAAGCATAACCTCAAATTTCAGGCAGGATCACTAATATAGTATACTGGTGGAGGAGCATGGAGGGGTAAAGGAGTTGAATTAAGCCATAGCAAAACCCCCTAGACTAGTTCCAACTAAATTTCAAGCTGAGGGTCCATGCAATCCAACTAAGTACACACAAAACAGGGAGTAGGTGTAAGCATAACCTCAAATTTCAGGAAGGAGCCCTAATATGATATACTGGTGGATAAAAGGCGGAGGGCTAAAGGAGTTGAATTGAGCCATAGCAAAACCCCCTAAACTAGTTCCAACTAAATTTCAAGCTGAGGGTCCATGCAATCCAACTCAGTACACAGAACTTGATAAAGAAAAATATAAAAGTATTTACATATTTTTGGACGGTCAGGCCAAAGGCACTTTTAGCTACAAACCAATCTGACAATTCTTAAATTGCCTAGTGGTGGTTTTCGGGACATGAATGTATTGTAGGAATTGAATTGGCCAAAGTGGCTTTGGCATCCATGGGCTTGGTACCACTAGGCACATCAGATACAGCTGAAGTAAGTGTCCATTGACTACTGCATGGCCTATTATGTAAGGATGATCTCTCTTCACCAAAGCATATTTCCAGTGGTCGCATTCAGGTCATTTGTGAATTTGCCTTTACTGGCAAGGATCGCACCCTATCCCGCAGTTGAAGTCCGGGTTTGGCCACAAAGCTGTTTGCTATGAAGTTTGGGTGGAAGCACTCCCAAGCTCGCACCACAGGTTGGCCAAAGGGCTTGTTGCAATCCATTGGCAACTGGAGGTAGACTGTATCGGGCCTTCTGAAGTACATTTCTCAGGCTGAAGAATAAGCCGTGCAACAATAAAATAAGTTTGAGCACATCCACTGCCCTCCCAGCTGAAGTCACTTTTCTACCGTTTACCTGTCCATGTGTAGGATCCCATCTTAATTTTTGATCAAATGTGAATTAATATCACATCAATTTGTTGAAACATCCTGTGAATGAAAGAAATTTCTAGGGTCTGAAAGTAGAACAACAGGATTTAATTAAAATTTTTATTAAATATTGATATTTTGTATACACCATGTGTAAAACATGATAATTTTCATACATCATTACATTTGACTTGTACTTTGACAATAATAATCCATTTATATAACTTTGAACATATTAACAAAACACATAAAAAGAAAGACATTTCATATAATTTACAAATAACAGTTTATTCCTGCCATAAATTAACATTTTTATAAAAACAAAGATTCTTATCCCTTATTACTCAATTATTTTGTCACATAGAAACATCAATAAAGAAATAATTATATATTTTTTAAACATCAAAGTTTGTACATAATGTTATATTCGAGTTAACATAAATAGCTTATTTGTATTATAATTAATGGTTAATAATAGTACAAACATTTATTTTTTAAATTTTCTTCTTCTTTTTCCATAAGAGGAATATAATTATCAATGGTGTATAGAAAATATTTGAAGGGAAGATTTGGAATCGTGTTACATATACATTTCAGTATGAAAAAAATAATAAAAAAAAAATTAACAAATTTACAGATTAATTTTTAATTAAAAAAAAACAAAAAAAAACAACAAAGAATGCTATCTTAGATGAGCTTAATTTTAATGACTAGATTGTGGCTCATGATCATGTTTTTGTTTGAAAAAATCCAATCTTTGTGCAGTGCTCCAAAAAATGACATTCTTGCGTAAATATATTTTCTAGAAAACAGTTCGCAATATATATANTATATATTTGTTGAATTAAATGGATTACTTTGAAAATATAAATTATCTTTAAAAATATATCATCTTTTATGATAATTTTTTCCCACCAAAAATATCTTATCTCGATAGAATTAATTTGACCAATTTCCATTAGGATTTCTGCCTGTCCAATATTTTTTCCGTTTCTTGTAACACCTTCAAAAACTGAATAGGGTGAGGGGAAAAAAGCAATGTTTTTCATTTTCAAATTCTATTTATACAAAGAGATCAAAATCATCTTAACCTAACTTTTTTGTAACTAGATTATAAAATATTATTATTTTAGCATCAAAGCAGAAATGTTTGCAGTATAAAAATCACAACAATTAACGTGTGCTTTACTTTAAATAATTTTTTAACTAACAACTTTTTTTCAACTTTAAATCATTTTTTTAATATAGATTTTTATTAGATAAGCTAGACTATGAATCTACAAAACAAGCTTTTTTTTAAATATTATGTCTTGGTGCATTTTAAAAAGCAGTTTGTACTTTGCACTTATTAAATGGGGAAAGACACACAAGCTACCTTGAAAGAGTCTGTTGAAAAAAACAGAAACTGTTAAAGATAAAAAAATTCAATTGTCCTTAGAAGCAAAGGAAAAAGAAGAAATTATACCAAGGGATTTCGTCCCTTAGGAGTCCTTTCAATATAGATTTTTTACATGTTTTATTAATTTATGTTTAATGTATTAATTTAAAAAAAGTTCTCAAACATAAATAAAGTGAAAAGGAGATACTCCACTACGTATTCTCAGAAATCCGGGCTTTGTTGTAGAAACGCAGACAGAAGTCCCAAAGGAAAAAATCGTTTTACAGAAAAAACTTTAATGATAATACAATATTAAAAAAAACACTTATATGATTTTTAATTGAGGAAAAAGAAATTAAGAAATAATAACACAACGGGCCTGCCGTTATCACAAAATAAAGTTACAGAGGAAAAAACCTCATAGCCATCCAGTGGCTTGAGCAGTCGAGAGAAACAGTACCCTTTTGTTTCCCCTCGAGTAATAAAAGTTGCATAATAAAAGACAGAATACTTTTTAAGCTCAACCCTACTATCGAACGAAAACTAAATTTCCCTTTTCGAACTAAATTACTACACAATTTTTTTTGTTTTTTGTCAGTTTCTCTTCACAAAAAATATAACTATATTGCTATTAACAAATTTATTTACACTAATTTATATATATATATATATTATATATAGACTTTATTTTTAATTAAAAAAATTATATTTTTTCATTAATATTTTGCCCAATTAAAATATAATCTAAAATATAAAAAGTATCTAGGGTATAGTATCTAAACATTTTCTCTATATAACAATAATTATTGGTAATTAATAAATACTAAAATGTGTCTTCAGCTTAATTTAATTTTTTTTAAATACATTATCATCCTGTCTGTATACAATCCCCCCCGCCCCATGAGCCATTCAATTACATTAAGCCATTTTCTTATTGTGGGAATTTTTGAAGCGATTGAAAATTTAAAAAAGCCCACTTCCAAAAAGCCAATTTTAAAAGCTAACTGTTCGCAAAAAATTGAAAATTTATCAGCTAGGATAAAAAAAAGTCCATTTAAGATTTTTTTGAACATTTACAAAATAATAAATAACACGACTGGAATGTTGAGGATTTTTGGAATTTTTAAAATTCCGTATTTTCTTCGCTTACACATCACAATAAATTTCCAATTTTTTTTTCTTTCCTTCCAACAATAAAAAAAAAGGAAACAAAAAAGAAGAAGCATTAAATGCCAAAATACGTGCTTGTGTTATATGCAATTTTGAAACAACTATTTCCAAATTGAAAAAAAAGAAAAAATATAAAATGTGGAGTCAGTTTAACAATTTATTTTTCTTCTTTTTAAATATTAAGACCTAACAAATAGATTTAATTAGACAACGCTTACCACTATTGTCTTTTTAATGCATTTTTCTCAATTAAACCAAACATTAAAAAAAAAGTACTTTCAAAAGAATAAATAGAATATAAAATAAAGCACTGACAAAAGGGAGGTAATTTTTTTTTTCTATCCCAAATATTCATTATATTATTTGTTAAATGCAATATTTATATAAAGACAACTGTATTAAGCTCAATTTGGTCCTTAACAATCTGAATTAAAAAACAAACAAAACATCTGAACTCTAAAGCTTTGACACCTCTAACAAGCATCTTTTTTTGTTTTTGTAAATATATATTTTTTTATAACAACAATAATAATTAAATTCAACCGGTGTAAAATAAAAAACTAAAATTTCCCAAATGTTAAAAACCTAATAAGTATTTATATAACAAACAAAAAGAAATATGGATCTACTCTTTGGTATTTTATTGAACCATATTGCAACTGAAAACGTATTTACCAAGTATCCGAAGAGATTTAAGACTTTTTCATGTCCTACCGGGTTTCCAAGCCGTTCGGTTGGACAAAAGGGCTTACACAGTGGATCCGCTAGGTTAAGTTTATTTTTTAAAAATGTTTTCTTTTGTAATTATTCTTAATCATCGACAAACCACGGACGGATACCACTAAAATTGAATGTTATGTGTGCTAAGACACAGACAAAGAAGACACAAGACGAACGACGTCCGTCTCTCTTCACTTAACTTCATCCTCCTCCATTGGCTCTACTGAATTTTCCCTTGAGCACTCATGACTGCTAAAAGGAAAAAAAAATCAATAACTTCTCTTAAAAAAAAAATTGATGTTCTTACTTGATATGAGAGTTGACTTGTTGCTGCATGGATAGGGATGCCATATTGGCTGTTACGGTTTCCGGTTCCTCTCCATCATTCAATTGAGCGGCAACCGCTGACAACGATACAGTGTGTGCTTGTTCTTTCAAACATGGCCAATGGCCGAGTTGGATAGCGATGGTTTTCTGAAGTGTATCTATTGCGTGTTGGTTCGGCGGCCTTCTAAGTTCCTCGTCGCTGATCGGTGTCGGGTCATCTCCGAGCAAAGCCCTTACGCATTCTTCGGCGGAATCACAAATAGCTGGAAGGTCATAGCCCCCCTCGAGCGATAAAACAAGCTGAAAATTACGCTTTTATAGCTTAGTCGAATATTTAAAAAAAACCAAAAAAAATTTTTACCTTTCCATCTGCAAGTTGCATGAGTTGTTGGGTCATAAAACCGAAACAAGCTGGGGATAGCTTGTATCCTCCGAGAGGTGCCGGATGACCCGTAGCTGCATCAAAACCAGCCGATACCATTATAATTTCTGGGCAAAATTCCTGAAAATTAGAAAATAAAATCAATCGTAGTTTTCATCGGTTAGTTGTAATCAGGTGTTATTTTTCGGTATAGAGGAAATGTATAAATAAAAAATATAAGAAATAAAATTAAAATAGAACCAAAATGTCATCACAATTAAAAGTCTGTGTATTTACTGAACAACCCCAGCTGCTACAGCCAATCAAATCAAATCATTTTCCTCTAAAAAACTACCTTAAAATAATATTAAATCCTAACCTTTGCTATCGGCATGACGACAGTGCGGAACGCTGCTAAATATTCTGCATCGCCCATCGGAGGATTTAGTCCTCCTGACCAAGCTATGTTGACGTTATATCCAAAGCCTGGGCCAACACCACACTAAAAAAATTAAACATAAATATTAAACAATGCTTTAACATGACTATGAGTTGAATCGTACTTCTGTCGGGCCTCCTGTTCCTGGAAAGAAATTTCCATCGTCGTGACGATGTAAGGATATAAATAGGATCCTTCTGTCATCGTAGAACATCTGCTGAGTGCCATTTCCATGATGAACATCCTATCAAAATAAAGTATTGTTTATTGCCAGTACGTATATAATTATAACACAAAATACAAAAGTTGATTTATTGATTTACCCAGTCGACTATTAAGATTCGCCTAAGTTCAAGTTTTTGTTGAAGCAGCCTTGATGCAATAGCTATTGAGTTGAAAAAGCAAAAACCCATCGCTTGCGATTCTTCAGCATGGTGGCCGGGTGGCCGTACAACAGCAAATCCGTTCTTGATATCTCCAGTTGCAGCTGGAAAAGTAATGTGTTAATATTAAAAAAAAATAAAATAAAATAAAAAAGTAAATAAGTACTTTTTATAGCTAGATCGATGACAGAACCAACTGCAATCCTAGCAGCAGGTGCCGTGTGGATTTCATTCCAAGTTGTGTCCGAGTCAACACCGACGCCGCCACAAGGAAGCCTTACAAAACTCTTTATCGGCAGTTGGGAAAGTTTGTTCATATCGAGCTTCTGTCTATTCATTGGATTTGTACCTGTAAAATGAAAAAAAAAAAAAAAAAGAAAGAAAAGTAATTAATTTGTTTTGAAATAAACCACTCACCAAAAAGAAGCGTGTGAGGTTCGCTATGGCATGTTTGAATTTCTTCAAGGGTGGCCTTCCTAGAACGGATCTTGTGACAGCGTCCTGTGAGACCCGTCTCGCCCAATCTTGCCCAAACGCTCTGCAGCCGGCCGCCGTGTTCAGGGTGCCAACCGTTCTCACCGCACATACAAGCGTGTTTCAGCATGCCGGTGTCAAAAGCGAGTCCTGTTGTAATTCTCTGCGGGCTTCTGTAAAATCATGAAAACCAATTTGAACCAGTTCTTTAAAATAAAAAATTTATTTATAAAATTACCCTGTAAGCTTTGGTGAAGTATGGTTGCTTCCGACTTGAGGTTCAGGGCTTAAAGCAACCAAAGGACTTGATAAAGCTCTTGCCAACGGCCTTCCTATATTAACCACTCTTGAATTCGCAACTGAACTGCCTAAAACAATTAAAAAAAAAAAAATTAACAATATTAAATAACTTAAAAATAAACATTTACATACAATTGCCCTGGTTGACCTGTAGAGTGTGCCTCATCATAAGATCTCTCTGCTGCTGGAGGAAACTCTCTCGCTCCCTCTGCTGCCTTGAAATTTCACTCTCTTCATCATTGTGATGGTTCCGACTACTCTTTTCTGTCAGATCTATGACCTACAAATACGAGTATATTACATTTTTTAAATAAAATATTAATTTTATGATTTCCATTTGTTGTCTCCACAAAGAATCTGAAATTTAACCATTACTCATCCTTGACCATTGCTGAGATGGCACTTTTCTGCCGTCTTTCATTTATACATACAGTGAACTATCATGGGCTCTGGTGAAAGAGACTTGACTTCACAGAATTACACAGACACACTGAAGATGGCGAAAGGCCAACTTTGAGAGGATAGATAGACTAAGATGATAGTAAGGATCAAATCACAGATTTATATTATTAAAGAAGACGAAAATTGATAATTACTTCTGGAGGATTATCATCGGCTTCGGGCGTATGCTCCAACTGTGAATTAACCATCTGCACTCGACTACCGACCCTTGTTAGCACCGTTTGACGAATTTGCTGCAAATAAACATTTCAAACGTGTATTCCAAATAGTTTAAAGTTGAGCAAAAATAATTTTACTATATATAAATACAAAAAAGCAAGTTACCTTTAAACTAAGATTCTTTATTAATTGAAGCAATTAGATTATTTAAATTGTGTTATATTTTTGTTAGAAAGAATATGGAAAAGGGTAAAAAAACTGGATTCCGCCTAGGGCAGCCACACACGAGATTAAGTGACACAGTCAAAATGATTTAAAACGAGACATCTTTTGGCTGGAAGGTTCAATTTCTTACTTGCTTGAGAAGATTACTGGAAATTGTTTGCTGTGGCTGTTGCTGGTAATCCCTTGAATCTTCATAATGGACAATAGCATTCATAGGTGCTGTTGTATTGAGCAGAGGATGGCCGAGTGGAAGAGGAGCTGACTGCGTCCTTCCCAGAGGCCTGTGCCACGACTTGTTTAACCTCGCATGTGCCACCTTCAACAGACCGTTTTTTTTTTCAACACCTCGCCCCAAAGAAAGATCGAAGTTAATAATTACCTGAGTGTCGGTGATTGGCGGCGCAGGGTAATTTGTTGGTATTTGAGGCCTGGCCTGTTCTAATGTCTGCATCTGTTTCTGTATGAAGCTTGGTGAATTTGGGTTGGAATATTCCCCGTCTATGACTTAAAAAAAAAAAAAAAAAATTGTAATCAAAATGTTAGTTTATAATTTTGCTTTTAAGTACCAGGCAATGTTGGGTAAAATGGAAGAGTCCCTGGAAGCATCTGCCCAGTCAGCGGTACTCCAAGCCTAACAGCCAATGAAGCTCTCACTTCTGCTTCAGACACAGGAGCAAGTTTACTTCCCTCCTACAAAAACAAACTCTTATAATAAAATAAAAATAAATACATAAATAAATAAAAAAATAAAAAATAAAAAGAGTTTTTAAATTAAAATTACAACTCACATTTGATGAATTTGGTGGCCTTCCGAGTGAAATGTTGGGCATAGAAGGACTGCTATAGAGGGCGGAAATGTCGCTCAGACTCCCGCTCTGATCAGACCTGACAGAAGTCTGCGCGTAAGGTTCTCCTTCCTTGAAAAATCCATCATCAAATGAGCAATTTTGTATTTATTTGAATATATTAAATATAATTAAAATTACTTCTTTAATCGGCGTTGTATGACCTGCAGGCGGTGAAAGTTGAGAATTCGCATGAACAGGAGGCGAATTAGGTCCTGAGTCAGGATTACTACTGCCTGATTCCACTGGAATAAATATAAAAATATATTTATATTTTAAATTAAGGACAATTTTTAAACCCTAATAAAATTTACACATCGTTAAAATTGTCTCAGAATTTAATTTTTTTCCTAAGGTTTATTGATTTTTTTAAAGAAGAGGTGCAATGATTCAACTAAGGATCCCCATTAATAGACAATGTATGAAAAAAATTTATTACTGCAATGCAAATGATTTGAAAAACCACTCATCAGAAAGAAAAATGAAACAAAATCTCATCAAAAATAGAGAAAAATAAAAAGCGATGTTACGTAAGAACTGTTGTTCTGCACAAAAACAATCCAGGGTAAAGACAATTCAGAGCATTGTTACTTTATTAATACATGATTATACAAAAAAGATAATTCCATAAACAAAAACCACCAAAAAAATTCTACCCAATTCAGATAGATTCAAATTGTATAATCAAAATGTCCTTTTCAAGGTATTCTAATAAAATAAAAACATGGTATGAAATGTAAGATGTTATTATTTAGGAGAAACCAATTTGCTGTTAGTGCTAAATAATTTGATTAGTTTTAATACCATGCAACATACTTGCTAATGTCGATTTCCTCTTCAAGTGTCTGTCTTTTCTTCTTGCAATCGGACTAGCTCTCCTCTCGATCACTCTCTGCTTCAACCTCACTTTGAGCAGGTTCGGCTCCGAGGCTGTACACCGATGTAATTTGTTTGGAGGTGACAAAAAATAGAAGGTTGGGGGAAAAGAGGAAAGAAAATATGTTAGTACGCTAAATAAGAAAAAAAAAGAAAACAACAAAGTAAAACAAAAATATACTGTTAATGTTTTGTTTTTTAAAAAGAAAACAAACAAAAATTTACATTAAAAATACGCTTGAATATGTTTAAGATTTGGCTTTGTTAGTTTAATTGTGCAAATGTTAAGCTCACGGCTCGTGCTTTCATTTCTTTAATTTTTTATAATTTTTCTTTTCATAAATATTTCGTTTGGTTTGAGAGCTGATTAATTGAAAAACTACAAACCAAGCTAGGTACAAAATTTAGACTTTGAAAACCTACCAGTTTTTCTGAGCGGGTATTCATCTTCGTACTTTGCAAGGAGAGGGTTGATCCTGTAGTGACCGCTGGTTGTTGCACCGTCAGCGCCTGGATTTTGTTGTAGGACAGTCCTATAAAATAAATTCAATCGAATTAAATTGTACAAAAAAAAGTTATTTTAAGCCAAACGATTTTAAAAATCCTTCAAAATTGAAAAATGATCAATATTCTTTTTTCTTAAATTTTGTATCAGTTAGTTTCATTTATCAAAAAAAAAAAAAAAAATTACTTTACAAAAATTATTTAAGCAAGCCACACATACTAATAAAAGGTTTAGACTCCATGCAGAGAGCACTTTTAGGTCCCATGTTCCATGATTTGGGGGTCTTCAATTGGATATTTTTGATTATTTATCAATACATTACTAAAGCATATTTAAATATTGATCATTGGTAATTCACAATGGTTTTGATTTGATTCTATATACTTCATAAAATTAACCCATAATAACAGAAGAACAGATGGGCTAGAAAAACTAAAATTGTAATATGTAACAACTCTCCCAGTTGACAAAAATTGTAACTATTGACAGTAAATTGAATATTGATCATTTCCAAGTAGCCGATTATCATTATTGGCCTGGTATAACGGTTTGATGAAAAACACCGATAACAGGCGGGCAAGAAACGAGATAGTTTAGAAAAACTACTGCATAGAGTTTATGAGCTGCGTTCTATTCAGTGCTGAATAAATTAATTAAGGTTTTGGTTGAGATAAAAAAATGAAAACTCAAAAGGTGGGGTTGAGATGGGAAGTTAGTGTCCGACTGGATCGAAGTCACGATAGCTCAAGTGGTAGAGCTGTGGTGTATCTAGCCGAAGGTCGTGGGTTCGAATCCCGCTCGTGACACTGACTTTTTTTATCTCAACCAAAACCTTAATTAATTGAAAAGAATTTATTTGGTCAAGCGAAACATGAAACCTAATAAAAATAATAATTAAATTCAACTGGTGTAAAATAAAACCTGAAATTTTCCAAATGTTAAAAACCTAATAAGTATTTATATAACAAACAAAAAGTAATATGGATCTACTCTTTGGTATTTTATTGAATAAAATCTACCACCTGTACAAAAACGCACAATCGAAAATTACAACTACTGATAGTAAATTATTGAAAATTAATCCATCTCCATGCGACAAATTCGATTTCGGCCTTGCCCCTAACCTAAATAGCGAAAAGTTTAGTTCTGAAGGGTTGTTTGTTAAAATTTCGAAGGTTGAACGTAAGAGACCAGAAGAGCTCAAGGAAAAATATTCTAATTGCAAAAGTTGGAAATAAAGGATTGCCCAGAAAGTGATAATTTGCGAGACCGACTCCACAATCATGGGCCCTTGGGTATGCATGATATTTAGGATCTGTTTAAGTATTTTGCGAAATGACGGCGTTTTAAAATTAGACAGGCCGACAATCCAATTAGGATGCTATTTCAAGTCGACTATTTGTTGCTTAACGTCCCGAAATACTATTTTTCAAAAAAAAAAGAAAAGCCCAATTTAAAAAAACAGATCTTTTGTTTATAAAAAAAAATTCCTCGAACAGTATAGATATAATGTTAATCCACATGACCCCCTGGTCTAATAATAATGCCGGCTGGACAGAAATACATAGGGTAGAGAACGAGTTTAAATTTAGTCGGTCCCTCAGTTTAGTTTGAAAATATTCACAAGTGGGTTAGATATAAATACATATCGCCGGTGAAGAATGAGGCGTCAAAAAGGTTCCAGACCACTTCCCCAATGAACGAAAAGCCCGATGGACCTGCCGTAGTTGTTTTTGGTATAAGAAAACTAGGAAATCGCCCGAAACGATTACATTCGGCTAATAGCACTTAACTCGACTGTGAGATCATCCTGAGATGGCTGTTTACCAATGGGAAACAGGGCTAATTCTTAAAAACCCAAAAGCGAACACCTACGGCGAATAGATGGAATTTTGTAAGCGTCGGTAATATGCTAATAAGAAAAAAATTAATTGAACTTCATAGTGTATTATTTCAAGTATGCTTGAGAGTCATGGATTTAAATTCGTTTAATGTACTAAAACTAACTCTGAAACATAATTTTGTCTTTTTTAATGTAAGAGGTTGATTAATGATAATGAGGCAAAATTAGAAGCAAAACATGCATGTACATAAATAGTTTTAAGGAAATAGACGAAGCCAATAGCGATTTTAGCCAGTTTGCACATTCGCTGTCACTCATCTCACTCTCTCACTCACTCACTCACTCTCTCTCTCTCTCTCTCTCTCTCACTTTTGACCCTCTCCCTCACTCTAACCCCCATTTTCACTCAATCATTATCTATCTCAATCACTTTCTCCATGTATCTATCCATTACCGATCGACTATCTCCATCTTTGTTTCTCTCTCTCTCTCTCTCTCCATCTATCTATCTCACTCTCTCTCTATCTCTAAGGCGATCTCACACTCTGTTTTTAGCGCTCTCTCTCTTTCTCTCTCTCTCTCTCTCTCTCTCTCTCTCTCACTTTTGACCCTCCCCCTCACTCTAACCCCCATTTTCACTCACTCATTATCTATCTCAATCACTTTCTCCATGTATCTATCCGTTACCGATCGACTATCTCAATCTTTGTTTCTCTCTCTCACTCTCTCTCTCTCTCTCTCTCTCCATCTATCTATCTCACTCTCTCTCTATCTCTAAGGCTATCTTTTATCTCACACTCTGTTTTTAGCGCTCTCTCTCTTTTTCTCTTTTATCTTTCACTTACTCTCAAAACACTCGCTCTATCACTTCTCTTTCACTTCCTCATACTCTCTCTCTCTCTCCCTCCCTCCCTCCCTCTCCCTTCTATCACTTCTCTTTCACTTCCTCATACGCTCTCTCTCATCTTTCACTTACTCTCAAAACACTCGCTCTATCACTTCTCTTTCACTTCCTCATACTCTCTCTCCCTCCATCCCTCCTTCTCTCTCCCCCCTCACCACCCCTCTCTCTCACACTCCCTCTCTCTCTCTCTGTCAATGGTGTAAACGATGTGTATGAATTGTTGTTACTTTTCAAGAGTCTTTTAATTTCTAATGCGTCATGTTTGTACATTACCAAGTTTTCATGTATGTTCAGTTTTCGTCCTTTTTGTACGCCGTGTTGTAAAAACAGCTTATCTGTATTTTTGAGGGTTTGTGATGTTTTCTTTGAGTTGAAGTGCAGCGTAGTTTTATTTTCCGACATTATCTGTTTAAACTATCTTATTTTCTTAGCACCTGTATTTTAGTTGAGCCCTGTCTGCCGATTTCTCCGCATTCGCCAGTTTAATATATATTGTGGGCTGTCTATCGTAATATTTTTAACCAGATAACTCAGTAGTTTTTATTTTGTATACAAGGTTCGTATGTACATATACATAAGATATTTAGGGAAAGATGCAAACACAGACACACAAAGGAATTCAAACGGCACCCCTTATTTTTATCTTATAATTGTGTTATAAAAAGGCTTCCGCCTTCCCTGCTGTACAGAAATAAGCATTTCTATTCTGATTTGAACAACTCATGCTTCGTTAGGCGATGTAAATATTGGTTCAGAGAGGATCGCTTAGAAAAAGAGAATCATTTATAAACTGGAGCTTTTTTCAAATAAACGGACCCGCGTTCTATTTCTGGGACGCCTTTGAAAATATCAAAAAGTAAAAGAGGAATAAACGAGGATAAGAATACCAGCCGGCGGTTCGGCCAAGTATTGTTTTAGAAATAGATGTGGAGACAAGCTGTTAGATATATACCGCCGTTTGGGTAATGCAGCAATTAAGACTTTAAGTGTTTAAATTTAGACCGTTTAGATATTTAAAAATGGACTCACCAATTTCTGTACTGTTGGGTCGTTGAAGGCTGTGGGTTTGCAGCCGCTGCTGCAGCCTCTCGTTGCTTCTTGTTCAGGAGGAATCCCTTGATAAAGAAAAATTAGATTTGTCACAAAAAATCCTTATATTGGAAAAAAAAAATCCAATGTTTACCTGCAATTTTAACTTGACTTCAGAGGAGGCGACTGCGCTTTGTTCGTGCTTGCCCTTTTTCTTGAGGCTTTCCAGCCTTTCCTTTTCCCTTTCTCGTTCCTGTTCCTCAGCGACTTTCTTCTTCTCCCAAAGCTCCTGCTTAATACACGCTAGATTAGAACGGTCGCCGTTACAGCTTCCAGTCGGTGTATTGGCCATCACCCGGGGAAAGACACTCGCGGACTGGAGCCAGGGGTATCAATTAAAACCGCGTCTCTCTCTCTCTTTTTAATCATTCTTTTTTTGTTTTATTTTCAGTATCAGTTGAAAAGGAAGTACCTAATTTACGGCTAAACGGTGTCGTCTTTGTTCGTGAGGCAACAGGCTCTTAAAATAGCACCGTACCTCCCCTGTTACCACAATTCATCAAACCCGTTGCAAAAATAGAATAAGAATTCAAAAACCTTCAATTTCTGACGTGTTTTGATGTAAAAACGGCCAAAATCATTTTTCACCCTCTGAGAATGGTGCTTTCCGCATGGTTTTTTGTCTTGGGTCATTATTTTTTTCAAAATCAAGTTCCTAAGGTTACGACTATCGGTTCCAAGCAATTAAACCATTTAAAAACAAATATCTTCGTAAATAGTGCCTATATTATTAATACAGTCCAACAGAATTGATATTAACCTGAAACGTTCGGACGTTTTTGAAATGGACAAATTTTGGAAGGAATTGTCGATCGCTACAAATATAATTTTGAATTAATAATTATTCGTCTCTATTTGTTTTTAATCCGTAAGAAGTGTAAAAATTCAGTTTTGAATGCTGGAATACAGGCCTAAAACCCGAAGAGAGGTTCATCAACTCTTAAACTATCTCAAATTTTAATCAAGATCAATTTTAAAATAAGTTCAACAGACAGCAATCCAATTATCAATTTCGTTTCAAAAGGAAAAAAAAACAATATAAACGGCTTGTGGTTTTTGTTTTTAATGGTACGTGGTTCTATATATAGAACAATCGCTGAACAACTTTGTTTACCGACCGTGGAAATATACAAAACTAAAATTAGAAGAGATTGAGATTAGAGAAAAAACGAAAAAGCTATTTTTCCACTAGGGAAAAATATTACATCCATGAATTTACACAGTGGTAAAAACAAGTCTTTTATATATTCAAGTGAATCGTAATGAAAAATATCATTCAATCATGATATATTTTTTATAAATAGAAACAAAATAGGATTTAAAAGGAGATAATAATTTCTCGGAGTTTAAGACGTATAAGAGTTTATCCTAAATCGAATAGGTTTCGTGGTCCGATTGACCAAATAAATTATTTTCAATTAATTAATCTTTTAAGTAAGGTATTGGTTGAGATAAAAAAGACAGTGTCACGAGCGGGATTCGAACCCGCGACATTCGGCTAAATACGCCGCTACTCTACCACGAGCTATCGTGATTCGATCCACACGGACACCAACTTCCCATCTCAACCCCACCATTTAAATTTTCCCTCCTTTTTGCCATTTTTTTTGATATGGGAAGTTGGTGTTCGAGTGGATCGAAGTCACGATAGCTCACTCAAGTGGTAGAGCAGCGGCGTATTTAGCCGAAGGTCGTGGGTTCGAATCCCGCTCGTGACATTGACTTTTTTATCTCAACCAACATCTTACTTAAAGATTACTTAATTGAAAAGAATTTATTTGGTCAATCGGACCACGAAACCTAATCGATTTAATAAGCAAAATGCAATGTACTTCACTAATGTTCTCCGTAGCCATTTCATTTGTCGTCGAGAATCAAATATATTACACGACATTTGAAAAATGGCAAAAAGGAAGGAAAATTCGAAAGGTGAGTTGAGATGGGAAATTGGTGTCCAAATGGATCGAAGTCAAGATAGCTCAAGTGGTAGGGTAGCGGCGTATCAAGCCGAAGGTCGTGGGTTCGAATCCCGCTCGTGACATTGACTTTTTTATCTCAACCAATACCTTACTTAAAAGATTAATTAATTGAAAAAGTTTATACTAAAGTTCAAAATTACTTAAAGTTTATACTAAAGTTCAAGTTACTCTGACAAATAAATCCTGACAGTTTCCCTTTTAAGTATTAAAGTAATTTCTGTCGTACCGAAGGGTTTAACGTCCGACTAATTAATCGTTGGGTGTCGGGAACCAGCGGTTTTATTATGATCAATTAAAATGTTATGTCAATTAATGTCTTATGCCTGGATTCGAACCCAGAACCACTCGGGGGCAACCTAACCATTCTACCACAGCAGTCTCCGCCTTTTAAATAATGAACTATTAAAAGATTCAACGCGATTGTTATCAAACGTATCAGCTCATCGTTGAAAGATATTTTTAGGCTGTAAAAAATAAAGATAAGATTTAAATATGAAAAACAATTGAATATGCGATAATTGTCTAAGCACAAAAAACCGCTTATTTTTACAATAAAATTTGATTTTTTTCCCCTTTGAGGATATCATATCAAAAAACGTGGTTGATCTACAAAAGCTATTTAAAAAAATTCACGGAAATTAATTTCATTCTGACTCGATCACCGTAGATTAAAGCAGCCTTACCGCTTCATTAAGATGACAACAGACGTTGCGAAATCAGATGAGAATACTGGTATAAATAAGAGAAGGAATCCAAGGGTGAAGGCAGGAACAACGCAATTTTCATAATTGTTCATTTCAAATGCGATCCTTGGATAACAAAGGATTGTTGTAGAGTCGCAATTATCCGTATCTTGGTTTCTTAAAGCCTTTTGTCAAAGATAAGTCGAATATTGTTGATAGGTTTTTTATTTCAAGACGGGATACGTTTTTTGAACGAGTACACTTTGAGAATGATAAATTGTCACTTGGAGACCGTATACGACCTCAGGTTTTTAATGTCAATTTTATATCATAAAATTCGTCCAATTGGTCGGAATTTATGTTGTTAAATTAACAATCTAAGATAGGCACATGTTACTGTTACTGAGGTTAGACAATTGCCAAAAGTCAGTCCAGTACTGCATCAGTTAAGCATTAGAATTACTTTATCGTACGAACTTTACCTGGACTAAGACTTAAGTAAACCAGGATATTGTTTAAAAGTCCGTTTATTCTCGCCCGTTGTTCATAAAAAAATTCATTACTGAATTTCTGGTAAAAACATTTAAACAGGGAAAAAAAGTTTACATTTCAGAAATGTTTAAGGTCTGCATAGTTTCACTATTAACCCATAAAAATATCGGATGTGATAAAGCAGGACAAGCTACGATTTTAGGAATTTTCAGCCTCAGTTTGCTTAATAACACTGTTTACCCATAAAAATATCTGAAGAAGCAAGAAAAGCAGAAATCGTATTGTATCTGTGATGAGACGGAACACCACCCAACTAATAAGAATTTACATCAGGGTCCGCTTAGTAACGCTCGTTACGACGAAAAATATCAAAGGGATTGAAAAAGCTAAACTCATACTTATCTGATGATGACAGGCCTTCCACAAAGCCAAGATTTCTGGAATTTTCAATTGGGGTCCGCTTAATTTCGTTGGTTAACACAAAAAAATAAATAAATAAATCAGAGGGAACGAAAAACTGAAAATCGTACTGTATCTGTCGTGAAACTGGTAAAATTTCAGGACTTTTCTGTCATGGTCCGCTTAATTTTGTGTGATGATGACAGGCCTTCCACAAAGCCAAGATTTCTGGAATTTTCAATTGGGGTCCGCTTAATTTCGTTGGTTAACACAAAAAAATAAATAAATAAATCAGAGGGAACGAAAAACTGAAAATCGTACTGTATCTGTCGTGAAACTGGTAAAATTTCAGGACTTTTCTGTCATGGTCCGCTTAATTTTGTGGTTTACCCTTAAAAATACCTGATGGGTAGAAAAAACTTTATTATTGTTATCTCAGGGAGCAGTTGGTGTCTGCTTAACTTCGCTGTTTACCAATAAAATAGATGGGTTGAAACTATGACTTCAGGAATTTTTAATTGAGGTACGCTTAGAGTTGATTTTAATCCATAAAAATATCTGAATGAGGAAAAAACTGTACTTATATATAGATTTGTGACCGGACCCACAGCTTATATTTCGTAAATTTACAGCTGGGGTCCGCTCAATTTCGCTGTTTAAACATAAAAAAGATTGATGGGTAGAAACAGCTGTACAGATGTTTTATCTGGTGAAAAAAGATGGCTGATGGGTTGAAACTATGACTTCAGGAATTTTTAATTGAGGTACGCTTAGAGTCGATTTTAATCCATAAAAATATCTGAAGGAAGAAAAAGCTGTACTTATATTTATTTGTGACAGGTCCTACGCTAATCTTTCGTAAATTTACAGTTGGGGGTCCGCTTAATTTCGCTGTTTAAACATAAAAAAAATTGATGGGTAGAAACAGCTGTACAGGTGTTTTATCTGGTGATGAAAAAAGACATCGTAAAAATAATATTTCAGGGATTCTCAGCCAAAGTTAGCAACACTGTTTACCCATAAAAATACCAGTGGGATCGAAAAAGCTGACTCATACGGAGGCAGGGCATCACACAGATAAGACGTCAGGAAATTTCATTCAGGGTCCGTTTAGTTTCGTTGTTTCTAAATAAATATATCTGAAGTTTCATATAAACTTATAGTTTAATAGTTCAAAATTCTGAGGTCAAAACAAAAACGATAAATTGTGCTGTTTGCCCAATGTTCCAGGTCGTAATAAAATGCTTTCATTATTGGCAGTAAATTTATTTTCGCTGGATGAACACCCCGAAAAATACTAATACATACTAATTGATTGGGTGATATGGGATGGCAAAAATATAAAATTTCATGTACAAAATATATCAGTTCAAGTCTTCCATCAGTAAAAATTCGCCTGTACTTCAAAATTTCCCGAAATTCTCGTTAGTTTCCCATTGTACGTTTAAATTTTTGTGGTTCAAGGAGGGTGACATTTAATAACAATCTAATTTTACTGATCCTGGATGATGCAAACCTGGTATAAATCTCCTGGTTTTTCAAGTTAACAAATTCTAAAACAGTTCTCCAGCTGAAATAAACGTCTTTATTGATTTCGGGCGTCATCTAGCCTAGCACTGCTCGAATCGTCAGTTTGTTTTCTGTTTACTCTCGCTTGTATCCCATCAAATAATTAATAAAATCGCGGATTAGAGAACGAGTTTTCATTGGTAATTTCAACATGGAATTTTACATATTTTTGCAGGTTGTCAATTATCAAGAGTTTACTGTCTTAAAAAATGGCCGTCATCAAGTAAATATTAAAACAGTCGAGGAATTTTTAAAGACATCATTACTAAATAAAGGGGGACCGCGGTAGCCGAGTGGTTAGCATGAGACTCTCACGCCGCAGTTGTGGGTTCGATTCCCACCGTCGCCTCTGGCCCTTTTTTCCCGATAACCCCCAATTTGAACACACAAGAATTCGTACTATGGCTAATATGCAAGATCATAAGGCCAATAAAAAAAAATTAAAAAAAAAAAATTACTAAATAAGGTTGTCCCAGTTGGGACTATACATTTTTAAATATTGTATAGGTTTTTCATGTCTATGTTGAAATTTCTATTAAAAATAGGTTAAATATTAAATTTAATAATATTATATTATCTATTTTGCTTTATACGATAATTTTAAATGTATTAGCGATACTATTGCGGTAAAGTTTGGATAAATGGGAAGGTGTATTGGCTGTACTGTGTAAAATAACCATATGGAAGTTATATTTCTGATATAGAATGGACGGGCTTTGATCACGTTCACTTTTAATTTGTAATTTATTCTTGATATCGTAGGTTTCAATTTGTGACTAGATGTTCATATAATTTTATTATTATTTTTTTTAAATGTTAATAATAGTTTCAATTGATTATTCTTTTTATGTAAGGTTTTGGTTAAGATGAAAAAGTTAGTGTCACGAGCGGGATTCGAACCCACGACCTTCGGCTCAATACGCCGCTGTTCTAACCACTTGAGCCATCGTGACTTCTCAAATGGTTAGAACAGCGACCTATTCGGCCCGAAGGTCGTGGATTCGAATCCCGCTCGTGATACTAACTTTTTCATCTCATCCAAGACGTTGCATAAAAAGAATAATTAATTGAAATAATTAATATGTTCAATTAGACCATTAAACATAAACTGGATAAATAACTGTTTAAATTAAAAAAAAAAAATAAAAAAACATTTGTAACTATGTCGGGTTCGAATGCAGGGCAGCTGGATTCGAACTCGGGACCTTTTCCGTTCGATGAGCGCCGTGTCAACGCCTAACACCGACGCCCCAACAACTGTTTTAAAGTCCTGTTGTAGAGAGGGGTGGATATGTTTCTTGAGTGCTCATCGAAAGTGTTTTCTTTCGATATGACTTGAAAACACAGAAACAAACTTAACTGATTGTGTTTCAAATTTATTTTTCCCGGCTTTCAAATGTTCGTCAATATATACTCCCGGAACTTTGACTCTGAGTACTCTAAGCAAATAGCTCACCAATGTGTTCGAGATTAGATTCTTTAACGACAAATTTTACTATAATCCACAAAAGACTAAAATTACACCTCTGACGCGCAGTGACAATTTTTTAAATAAATTAATTAAACAATAGAGCATTTTAAATGCTTACCTGTAAATGAACTCTCATCTGCTGTTCATGCTGTTCGGCCAGCTGTTGCTGCTGAGCCTGAAAGTGCTGAAGTAGGATCTGCTGCTGAATCTGGTGACGCTGTTTCAGCTGTAACAAAACAGAAACGTTTATTAACATCGCTCCGTCGACTTTTTTGCTAGAAATTAAGCCTCAGTCGATTTTTTTCTCGAGAAAACAACTTTGTTTTCGGCTTGCATTCCTCACCAGGTCTCTCTGCCGGTTAAGTCTTTCCAAAGGGTCCGCTCGGTTGATCGGCCGACCTGGAAGATCCAACTTCAGAGGAGGCGCGACCTTAACAATTTTCAAATTTTGTATTAAAACAAATCATGAGGCCTTGATCAGCTCAAACGGTATTCAAAGAATCAGAAGTTGTCTTTTGATATGTGCCTGAAGGTCCCGAGCGTTCGGTTTCCTGACATAATCGCACAAAAGCGTAAAAAAATTAGTTTTATTATAAATGATCACACCTGACCAATATCGTACATTATCATCTAATCAACAATTCCAATTCTTTTATGAACACACTATGAGATATATACCATTAAACAGCCTTTGTAATGCTATTAAAATTTACTCCTCAACAAAATAAAGAGATGCTGGCAGAAAACTAAAACACTAATTTCCCATGTCATACATAATCATCATACATAAATAAATCACAAAAAAAATAGACATTTGACTATCCTTGCGGCGATACAAAACGGTTTTAGTGTTCATTAGCACGGACGTGACAACGCGGACCTGCTGGATTTTAATTAATGTTTTCCGTCAAACAAAAAACCTCCAAGATTATTTGAAATTTTCCGTCAGAAAGGAAGTTTTTCTGGGCCAATTTTAATTTAAAGGGTTAATTATTAAATAATTATGTAAATCCGGGTTCCCATGTTTTTTAAATGTTTAAATAAAACATTAATTTTAATTATGATGGAATTATTCAAAACGAAATAGGTTAATTAATGAATAATTAAAATTATAATATAGCTTGTCGATCGATCGATTCTCTCATTTACATATATTTCAGGCGATGACATCCTGCTAAAAAATTTACGACTTCGGATATTTTACATTTTTTAAAATAATATCAGCTTAGTTTGGAATAAAAAAATTAAAATTTTGGCTAATTTGGAGGTCGTAATTCGCACCTTTCTAGGCAAAGTACAACTATTTTCGCCGGAACACTAAAGAACTATTAATCTATTTTTTTTTAATTTTCTTTCTAACCTAAATATTGTCCAGGTATTAAACCTTGTATATGATGATGTTCAATGTGTGTAAAACTTACGAATTTAATAATTAATTATTAATATTATAACGTACTATAACCAAGCCTACGTCACTAACGAACTATTTCACTTTTTTTACAACCTTATTTTATTCGCTTTAATTTTTTTCCAATATCAGAATTTCGTAAATTATTGCCCCATTTAGATTGAAAATAAAAAGAACTGTAGAAATTTTGGGATTTGCCCGTTTTTCAACCTCTATATTCATGACTAAAGTTGCTGTATTCAAAATAAAATGGTTATCCACTAAATAGCAACCATTGAATTTATATTATTGTAATGTTAACTATACAAACATATTTTCAATTAATTAAGGCTTTGGTTGAGATAAAAAAGTCAGTAGCACGAGCGGGATTCGAACCCACGACCTTCGGCTAAATACGCCGCTACTGTACAACTTGAGCTATCGTGACTTCGATCCACTCGGACACTAACTTCGCATCTCAACCCCACCTTTTGAATTTTCCCTCTTTTTTGCCATTTTTCATCTCAACCAGAGCCTTAATTAATTGAAAATAATTTATTTGGTCTATCGGACCACGAAACATAATAGATATACGAGCATAATTGAGTATGTAGGAAAAGTTGCAATGTGAAAAGAGAACTCCAAATTCAACGATTTTTGATGTGCCACCAACGAAAAATTCGACATTTTCGAGATAGTTTTCGATTTGTTAATTCACCATATATAAATGCGGAAATAATTAATTATGAAATAAATTGGCCTTGATGGCCAATAACCGATAAAAATTATATTAACTAAAAAGTTAAAAATTTGGACTTTTACATTAAATTATTTGTGCGGTGTTTAGTGACTGTTAGTTAATGATTATTTGTTAAATAATCGTTAAATCTATTTTTCCTCAACAATAAAAGTGGCAAATGATTTAAGAAAAAAAAATGCAAACGCCAAATATATATTTTAAAATTTTACAAATAAATTTTCCAAAAATTTTAAATTTTCTTTTCAAACTTAAAATTACGTAAAACGCAACATTCACAAATGATTAAAACTTTTGAATTTGAAAACGTTTTAAATACAGTGCTTTATTTTTTACTTGACTGCTTTTATTTGTTACACACGATAGTGTTTTTAATTTTTTTTTGACGATTTTCGTATTTAATGCCTCCGCCGCAAACTAAAAAGTAAAACCTGGCCAAAATTACATAAACGCAATAAATGAGAATCCTGAAAAATTGGACTTTTATATTTATAATTATAATGGCATTATTCGAAATAAAATAGTTACTACTGGATAATAACCATTTAACTTATATTATTGTAATGTTAATTATACAAACTTAATTGAATACGTACGGAAAAGGTGAAATGTGAAAGAAAACTCCAAATTCAACTATTTTTGATGTGCCACCAACGAAAAATTCGACATTTTCGAGACATAGATTTGATTGTTCACCATATAAATGCGTAAATAATTAATTATGAAACATGTTATTTCATCGATTTCGGCCTTGATGGCCAATAAACGATAAAAATGATATTAACTGAAAACTTAAAAATTGGGATTTTGACGTTAAATAAATAATTTAAACAGTATTTTCTAAATACTGTTTTCTTGATTTATTTAGTTTTTAATTTTAACGATCCTAATGGATGTTTTTATATTTAACGCCTATATGATTATAAAACCAATTTTATGTTGGGTTCGAATCCCGCTCGTGAAACTAACTTTTTCATTTCAACGAAGACCTTACATAAAGATTTATGTTGGAGTTTGCAGTTTTTTTTGGTAATATAAGAAGGTAGAAAGGTTAAATTTAATAATTATTACTACGTTGATATTAAACGTGTAATCGCTTATTCCTGGATATTTCCCAACATAATTACACTTTAGCTGTGATCTATAAAAATTCTGTTTTTGCATAAGGCGTCCTTTGCGAAAAACAACATGACTCATCAATTTCCATTCCTTTATCCGGCGCACATACCTGCGGTCTAATTCGATATCTAAAACGGTCACGCATATGAGCGAAAGGGCGCGTTTTTTTCCCCGCACATTTACCTCAAATGTTTTACAACCGTAAATCAGCCAATTTGCAGCCCAAGAAGGCCGGCGGTTCTATTTTCGCATAAGTCTTTAAAACGTTTGCTTTCTCAATTGGGTAATTTTCCGCAGTTCGACTTTTACGACGTTCCTCGACCAATTTCGAAGACAGGGAAAAACAAGGCTGTTTTCCTGAATGATCACATTCTAGGTATTTACCTTTTGTCTTTTAGAAGTTTTGAAAAACCGTGTTGTTTCCATTATAATGAAAATAAATATTTAAGTTTTGACATTGAATTAGGTCATTCATTAGAAGCCGTAAATACACTGACAGGCAAAAATTCCACCCACTTGTAATAAAACTTGATTTGTATGTATTTTTATATATTAATCAAAGTTTCAAGTATTTTAACGTTTGATAATTGAGTCTTTGTCCAAAACAGTAAAAAAAAAGTAAATGCTAAGGAAAATGAAAAAAAGACGGACAGATAAAAGTTTTTAAAATTTTGTTTGAGATTTTTAATTAACATTTCAATATTGGGTATTTCCTCCTCTTGCCTTAATTACATCTCCAAGACGCCTCGGCATACTTTCTACCAGTCTGGAAATGTCTCTTTCCTGGAGGTTAGACATTCTTCACGAAAAGTCCTTTCAAGATTGTGGAGTGAATGAATGAATGAAAAAGTACTTTATTAGATAAACAAAAGAGAGTAAAAAAAATTGTACATAATCAAAAAGCACATTTCGGCAATGGTTATCAACCGTCTGCCGGAGTCGGACTATACATTTTTAATAAACAAGGAACATATTTCTTCTTAAGGAATAAACAAAAGAGAGAGAAAAAACTATATAAATAAACTAAAATAACAACATATCTATTTATGCACATATAAATAAATAACCAGGGTGTCTCTGATATATACAGTAAACATTTAATAGTTGAAATAAAAAACAAGCGTTTTCCTGTAGTTCCAGGCTTCCATCGCAAACTTTACCAGATTTAAAGACTCGGGGTTATTTAATAAAGAGATTAGGTGCTCTCTCGTCAACGTGGGCAAGCCTATATGCCGTGCTCGGAACTCAGCTAAAACTGGGCATTCTGCTAGAAAATGAAAACAGTCTTCTCGAGCCTGCCTGTTGCAGAGAGAGCACCTATCGGAACTATTGACTCTTGTGGGGTTATAATTGAGGTACAGTAACTCGCACCTAATTTTGAAAAACCAGCGAGCTAGCGGAATGGACGGAATTTTAGAATCTTGCGCTATGTTCAAGAAAGGTTGACTGATATTAAGGTCCTTATAGAGCAAAAATCTAGAGGAATTCTGAGCATGGAGGAGACATTTCACTGTGTGAGAAGTGCGGATATTGTTAATTAATTTTGAATGTAAAAGTGGCCACTCTTTGAGATTGTCCAGGGAAAAATTGCCATTCAGCTGAAATTGTTGAGCCATTCCAGGAAGAAAACCATGATATTTTGGATCTTATGATTTCCAGCGCTGTATTCTTAGGAAGGCGGTAGTTAGGAAGGTTTAGGACCCTGTAGACATAGGAAGTATGTAATTGTAATGTAAATTGAAACAAAAGTTCAACGGAGGTTTCGAGGTAGATCATGTAGTTAGGCGTGAAAGATTGTGGAGTGTGTCAGGCAGTGATGGTCGCGCTCTTATTCATCCTTTGAGGTTATCCCATAAATGTTCTATGGGGTTCGAGTCTGGTGGACGGGCTGGCCAGGCTAAGACCCTGATATTATGCTGTTGAAGGTACGTTTGTACTAAGCGAGACATGTGGACATGTGCATTAGAATAGGATTGTCGCTGATTTCATCGACGATAGGCAACCCATTATGTTCCAAAATTTCAACCACATAGCGAGTGGTCGATAAAGACAACAACCAACGCTGTGCAACTTTCCATAGACCCACACCATCACTGAGCTACGTTGAAAAGGATGGCTCTGGGAAAAATAACAAGCTTCGTACCTTTCATTTCACCTTCTCCACACTCATTCACGCCAATCTGGGGGCGTAGAAAAAATCTACACACTTCTGTAAAAAGTCCGTGCAACTCTGGGTGTTCTGGTAAATTCTGGGGTGAAAAGCCATCAGTTCATACTGATTTAACGTTCTTGGAGCAGTGCCTTCAGCAATTTGGACACCTCGAACTTTCTGGAGCTGAAGAATCGCTTGAACAACAGCAAGTTGCCGGATTCGTAAATTTCTCAAACTCCAAAAACGATCATCCTGTGGTTGGGTTACTCTAGGGCCCTAGAACCGGGCATTCTAGGACCCAGTTTCTCGAAAACGTCAAACGGCGTCTCGCATACTTTCATAGGGATCTCCGATGGAACGTCCATCATCAATCACTTCCTATATAATTCCTAATCCTATGCGCGGTTAGGAGCGCAAGTTCCTCAGCACTAAGTGGCATTTTTAAGTTTAAAAATTGAAATGAAGAAAACAAACATGAAAATTAAACAGTTTTTCAATTAATTATTCTTATTATGTAAGGTCTTGGTTGAAACGAAAAAGTTAGTGTCAAGCGCAGGATTCGAACCCACAACCTTTGGCGACGCAGCTCTAACCACTCGTGACTTCGACCCACTCGGACACCAACTCCCCATCTCAACCTACAACCTTTCGAATTTTCCCTCTTTTTTTGCCATTTTTCATAAGCTAAACAGTTTATTGCTTCAGAATTCAAATGAGACTGAATAAACATTTTAAATTCTGTAAAAAGCAAACATTGAAAAATCCTTTGTTTGTTTTGGATTAAGGATTAAGTGTGTTTACCTCTGATATGCTCAATTTAAAACGTGGCGTAAACAAATATGTATAGGTAAAGTAATGAGACAAATTAAGGGCAAAATTCTCTTTTATCGAGGAAAAGAAGAAAAATCAATTGGTGGAATTTTTTGCCTGTCAGTGTAATTTGCCTTCAATTTTCTATTTAAAATTAGGCCTTTACGACGGTCATAAACGTGTCAATTACAGTTGAACAACTCCGAACCGGCTCGCAAATCGGGTATCCGAGTCATTTCCGCCGGGCCGTAAGTCAAAAATTTCCAGACACCAGTCCAGACGGCATTCCAAAAGGGCAAGAATCCCATGGCCTCATTCCAAACTCGGAGCAACGTCGAAGATCTTGGAATTTGGATTTGTATAACGAGCCGTTCCGCATTGCCGGGCAAACGGCGGGATTCGTCGTCAAGTCGAGGATGAATTATAGCGGCCCTTTATATTATTTACGCGGGTCGAGATATAAATAACGACTTAAGGTGAAATTTCCAAAGGAACGACTATTCAGAATGTCCACTGTACCACTTAATACGTAAATTATTTGATTTTGTGAAACTGTAAATGTTTATGGGGAAAATGAGAACTCAGAACATACAACGCACGACGTCGTAAACCCGCCCAACGCAGACAGATAATTACTTTAATTATTTAAAAAAAAATGTGCCAAGTTTACTCTTTTCTCTGGATCAGCAAGTCCCAAGACTCTCTTAGAATTTTCAATAGACAATATCGAAACCAGGACTCAAGTCAAAATAAGATGAAAAAAAGGGATTGGCTTTACAAATTATCAAATAGTTTTTAATCACGATATATATTTTGTCTTCGTTATATATTTTTTCGTTATGCCCTTCTTCCTTCCTTTTCATTTTAATTTTTCTATTTTTAGGCCTTTTTCCTGAAAGGGATTTTCAAAAAACTTCAAATATACAAAAAAAAAACACCTTGTACTGGAAAATGGCACTGGATACCAAAATGTACATTCCAATATTTTGTTAAAATAATTTTTACAATGATAAAATAATAATGATAAAATCATGTTAAAGGAATTTTTAATAAAATGAAGTTAAAGAAAAAAAAAACAATAAATTTGTTCACTATGGTACTTTTCTTCCTTACTACTTCGCCTCAAATCGTAAATCTCTCAACATTGATTGAAATTCATCAATATTATTAAGCTAATTAGATGCGTTTTTTTATGTATTGCTTTATCTGTCTCTACTCTTTTCTCATGAACACTTGGTGTCTTTAAATTTAATAACTTTAACCCTCTTTTCGCCAGGAGTGTAAAAGAGACAGAAATGTCTACAAAATACTTTTAAAATGTTTCAATTAATTAATCTTTATGTAAGGTATTGGGTGATATGAAAAAGTCAGTGTCACGAGCGGGATTCGAACCCACGACCTTCGGCTAAATACGCCGGGCCGGTGCTCTACCACTTGAGCTACCGTGACTTCGATCCACTCGGACACCAATTCCTCATCTCAAACCACCTTTCGAATTTTTCCATCCTTTTTGCCATTTTGGATTTAATAAGTAAAACGAAGTATATCTTCATTGAAGTTCTCCGTGGTAGTTTCATCTGTCGCCGAGAATCGAATCCTATTACACGACATTTGAAAAATGGCAAAACGTAGAGGAAAATTCGAAAGGTAGTTTGAGATGGGGAATTGGTGTCCGAGTGGTTCGAAGTCACGAACCACGACGATAGCTGAAGTGGTAGAGCATCGGCGTATTTAGCCTAAGGTCGTGGGTTCGAATCCCGCTCGTGACACTGACTTTTTCATTTCAACCAATACCTTACATAAAGATTAATTAATTGAAAAAAGTAAATTCGGTCAATCGGACCACGAAATATAATGCTTTTAAAATATATTAAAATTATGTGATAAATTATTTTAAAAAATATCACTGTATAATAGTTGTCAAATGGTTGCTCCTTGGTGATATTTAGGCCGACAAATGTTGAACGGTTCTGAACCCATTCAACAAAGTTCCAAAACACTGTTACAGCGCTGTAATTGGAATCTGGAATTTACTGAATTTGAAAACTCAATTTTGCGTCCGTGGCGAAAGGTCAATGGCTCCATGTTCCAGAATTCTGGCCGGCAATTTTTTTTATCACAGGGTGGGATTTCATCTAACATGCGCATCTTGTTTTTTAATCGATTATTGGCCGAAAACATGACCAAGGAAAGCTTTTATGGAGCTGGTAAAAACACGAATTTTATCAAGATATTGGATTTTTTTTTTTGGGGGGGGGGAGATAAATAAAGAAGAGATTGGCGAATTTAACTGGTCTAGGTCGAGTAAAGTGGACAAATTTTTCAATTTCCGTAGTGGCCTATTAGGTATTACGTATATATTGATAAATATGCAAGATTTTCGTTAAAACAGTTCGGGTTTTAATTTTTTCCGATGTGAAAATACTATGACTCGATCGAATCGAAGAATGTCACGGCTTGGCATTTAAATGAATTTGAACAATTGACCGGCAACGCCAAATATTCTCGGTGTAGCTGAAATATTCAAGGAGGCGAGGAGGCAGGCGTATTTTGAAAATCAGACTTCAAAACAAACACAAACCGGCAAAAATAGGTTCGAGTAATAAACCCAAGGTTATATAATTTCCCCTTGGAAACAGCAGTACGGTTCGAATATTTATTGAACAAGGGTAAATTTAATTTGCAGTCCGTAAACTGGCATAGGATGAGGCGGCAGTGTATACAAATTTAAAACTGGACTCCCGAAAGCTTTCTATCTACGATAATAAGTGTCTTGTTTTGTAAACTGTGTGTGTAAACGGGCTCTTCTTCCCTTTAGTCTTCCCTGCTCTGAAATTAGACGGGAGGATCAGTTCATGTCTGTTTAGACGGCATTCAGGGTGAGACTGTATTTATTTAAGGCCCTGTTATCAAAAGACAACTTCGTCGAATTCGCTTAATCGAGACTTTTCAAACAATAAAATCTAAAGGTCCTCTGAAGGTGGATGCACATTCTTCAAGAGAACATTAAAAATGATGTATAGGTTTAAAGAATATCGTGATCAAAACGATAGGCCTATATTAAAATAAGGACCGAAAGGGTCGTCTGCGATTTTCAAATTCCAGGCGTATCGTTTTGGGGAAAAAAAGCGAGATCCTGCGGATACTCAACGAGCTGCATGTAAAGAACTTCGAGGCATAAGAGGTAACCTCCGTCACGCTAAATATCCCATACATTTTAATTTTTCGGTCGTCAACTTATTTTTAAACAATTACATGATAAACCACAAAATTATAAACATATAGCTTGTTTGGCTTAAACTGTGCATCAAAATAATACACAATTCTTTAATTTATTGGGGGAACGCGGAGGCCGACTGTTTAGGTTTTTTGTTTTTCAGCACGCTCCATATTATATACAATACGTTGTCAGTATTTATTACTAATTATACAAGAACGATAAAAAGAAGAAAAAATAAAAATATTATATATAAATTCACTAATTTCGTGGTCTGCCCGACCAATTAATACTTTACAATTAATTAAGGTTTTTAGTTGAGATGAAAAAAAGTTAATGGCACTAGAGGGATTCGAACCCACGACCTTCGGCTAGATACGCCGCTGCTCTACCACCTGAGATATCGTGACCTCGATCCACTCGGACATCAACTCCCCATCCCAAGGAGGGAAAACTCATAAGGTGGGGTTGGGATGGGGAGTTGATGTCCAAGTGGATCGAGGTCACGATAGCTCAGGTGGTAGAGCAGCGGCGTATCTAGCCGAAGGTCGTGGGTTCGAATCCCTCTAGTGCCATTAACTTTTTTTTTATGTCAACTAAAAACCTTAATTAATTGTAAATCATATATAAATAAATGAAATTTTAGCTGTGAATATATTTATTTAATTAAAAGAAAGAGACAAAAGCATATTTTTCTAGTTTTAACAATAGCATATCAAAGTCAATCGAAGCAACAAATATAGCGAACGTCTCGATATACCGGTCTTCCATGAGAAATTGAAGTTACCCAGGAAGCTTTGTAGTTTCACTAGTCCAGCGAAGCACTACTTGATTCAACAGGGGGCAGTGCAGACTTATGTGGTCAACAATATGGGGGTGGGTTAGCAGCGACATGTTGAGCTGTCTATTATGTTGAAGCGATGGGGATACGTTCTACCATGACCGCTGTGGATCTGGCGTCATTTCAGTCAGGTCAGTTTGAAATATGTGTTCCAACGGTAGGAAATAAAGGTTTCGTTGTAGCGCACTTTTCACAATTCTGCCATTCTTCATTCCATTGAATGAATTGCAAATTGTGCGTCCAATGTATTTCAAGGAGTGAGAAAGGCACTTTGTTGTAGGACTTCGGATGATGGTGCAGGCAAGCTTATCAGCTCGCTCATTTCCTTCCAGTCCCACGTGTGCTTTATCCCAAGTGAAACGTATCGTCCAACCCAATTTCTCAGATAAAAACTTTAGTTTTCTTCTGGCGTCTTCTATAAGCGACAAGTGAAAATTTCCATTCCTCAACATAATGCAAGCTGGTCTTTTAGTTTGAGTTTACTTATTAGAACTTCTTTTTCAAGTTCTATATACCACTACCAAAGCCAACATTTCTACCATCTTTTGCTACCACTTGCATAGATGTTCCAGGCATACTGCACGTTCTCTTTCCTTTCATCAACCAGTGGCAAACTAGCAGGGTGAGACCAGTTTTCAATGCTCGCTGCTGTGTGGTGCTTTTGTGACATTATTTATCAGAATTGACTCATGTTTAGAGATTAGCGAATTTTAGGTTTGTTGGGAGGATCTATCCGATAATAATACGGCCTCATATTAGATAGTTCGGAAGCTTATAATGACTGACTATTAGTCTGTGCATGCGTCAAATCTTTCTTCCTGTTGGATGATTTGTTCAATGCTATGCTCCAGTCTGGACAGTCGTGTGTGATGAATGGAATGACAGCACCGTCATGAATGATTTTCATTGACTTAAACTGTGTATCAAAATAATACAATTCTTTAATTTATGGGGATCGCGGTGGCCGACTTTTAGGTGTCTGATATGTGTTTGCCATCCTAGCGGCTCTGGGTTCAAATCCAGGCATAGCTCATGGAATTTTAATCGAGAATAATATGAAAAATGTGTTAATATGTGTTATTATGCTTTTGATAACACTACCCACAGAGGCATATTCCCTGTGGACCCAGGCAAAGCCCGACCATCAACCCTGATGCCCGGGGGTAACCAATGAGGGAAGCATCCCTATTATCTTCCTTATCCTTCCTACCCCTTTCCTTTTCACTCCCTCTCCCCCCTCTGCTTTGGCAGGGGATTCCTGGGTTACTGAAACCGCACCCCTTAGGAAACGGGTGCATCAGTAGGGAGTTCGTATGACCTCCCGGGTGGGCGATCAGTTCCACCTTAAAAATAATACTGAACCACGGGAGTGGAGTATCCAAGCGGCTCCACTAATTGAGGTTGGACTCGTGGTGGTCGTGGTTTGTAAACGAATTGTACCTTAGCTGGAGGGTACCGGCCAACCGGAGCTGGAGATAGGGTGCCTTATTTATCTCTCCGGGGGTGGTGAAAGGCATGGCTAAAAGGCTGTGCTGGAAACCACAATTTGCCTTTTTTAAGGCACATGTATTGTGCCATTTTTAGGGCACTTCTGAACTTGTTTAGTACTGCACCACCTCGCTAGCCAAGGGATGTGACAAGTCTATGTATGTTAAATCTTCCTTTTTCGAGAACACTAGGCGTCTGAGAAGTCCCTTGGGGATAAATCCGGACGATAAAGATCCTCATGGGTCTCAACACCCATGAGTAAAGATGGGAACATCTGTCCGCTACACCTTACACCTACATGTGAAGCAGTGCCTCCTACTGTTTTCTCGTTTGTTTTTTTTGTTTTTTTGTTTTTAAATCGATTAAAGGTGAACGTTTTTTTCCGAAATGGATCGTTTAGCCATCTTGTAAAAAGTATTTGTTAAAGTATGTACAGTACCACTCCGCCTTTCATGGTTCAAGGGGTATCCAGAACGGTGTATTAAGTCCTGGGGAATTGAAGCATTCAGGACTTGAAAAAAGTTAGTTTTTTTTCTAAGGAATTATGATCATACATTGTTGTCAGCACATTGTTCCAATTTTGAAGTTTTTTCCTTTTTTTTTGTAGAAATGTGTGGTAGTTGGTGACCATTAATCTTAAAATTATTTAGAAATCGTGAGATGCGGTCTAGTGTAATGTAGGTTTCAGAAAAACATTTTTTTTTATCGTGCCAACGTTTCGATCTTTATTGAGATCATCTTCAGTGTAGAGTGCCCTGAAGGGGTAGGGAGAGTAGGGCACCCTCTTCCCTTCAGGTGGGCGACATGCAAGAATGGCACAATTACACAGAAGACAAACACTTTGAGCCCTGAAGATGATCTCAATAAAGATCGAAACGTTGGCACGATAAAGAAAATGTTTTTCTGAAACCTACATCACACCAGACCGCATCTCACGATTTCTGAATAATTTTTTCCTCCTTTATTTGCATCCCTAATGCAAGTTTGAAGTGTAAATATAGATTGATGAAGATATTTTTCGCTGTCCTTATAGAGAACTATTTCCAATTGAATTAACAGCAATAAATTTGTTATTTTGTCTAAATTTTTGGTTCAAAGACAAAATTATTTTTATACAACTTCCAGAATCAAATCTCTTAGTACATAATAAAATGAGAGTTTTTCCAGGAATAAACCCCATTCCCATAAACTTATAAACTTTGGGTCTTATCTTGTTATAGTTTGGTTTATGTAATGATTTGTATAGAATGGCTAGAATTGTTCACACACTGTTTATACAAAAGATGTTATTAAGTCCGACATGAGTAGCAGCATATCACCAATTTTCTCGTTTCTTAAATAATTAACGGTGTACGTTTTTTCCGAATTAGATGGTTTACTCATTTTGTACAAAATCTTTGTTAAAAGTACTTTACAATACCACTCTTCTTTTCATGGCTCACGGGCAATCATGAAGGTGTTTGATGGTATTTTGGTGAAATCGAGACTTGAAAAAAAGTGAGTTTTATCTAGGGAAATCATTTTTCCCATTATTTTCTTTATGATCCTTTCGGTATTAATGTACTTTTTGTGATTTTCCTGGCCCTAGAAGCTTCATCCCCTGTTAATCGGATAAATTTTATGCAAGAAAAGAAAAAAAAATGGCCAGATTCCTTATGTGGTTTAGAAAACCTTAAAGAGCTAAACCTGAAATCGAACTCCAGACATACACATGGTGTTTCTTTTTGGCGAAGTCCGGTTTGGAAAAAATTTAAGGAAATCTTTTTTCCAATGAGTTCCATATGGTCCTTTTGGAATTAACGTACTTGATTTACCTGGCCCTAGGAACTTCCTGTCTTGTTAAGTCCAGAACAATTTTGGGCAAGTTCACCTAAGTTTCTTCTCTCTCTCAGATAAGATATTAAAAGACCAGATTTCTTTCTTTGGCCAGAACACCTTGAGAGATAGACCTAAAATCAAACCTCAGACCTTCACCCAAGTTGTTTATTGGGGGGGGGGGTCCCTTTTTTTAGATGAAATCCTAAATCCTTTCGGTACTTTACTGAGATTTCTCTAGGAGCTTCTCTTTTTTAGGATTTTCCCTATGGGCTTCCTCTCTTGTTATTTTGGCCGAGTCCATTCAGGTTTCCTTTCTCTCGGGGGAGAAAGCAAAAGACCAGATTCATTTCTTGGACTTGCGAAATTTTAAGAGTAAGATATGGAATTGAACTCCAGACTCTGAAATCTCTTTTGGGCGAATTCCCCCTTTTCGATCATCTCAAAAGAAGTTCGCAATGACTGAACTGTTTTCTTGTAGTTCTCTGTATAATCCTCCCCTTTTCTTCTTCAGTCAACCCCTAAAATCTGCATGATTGTCTTAATTATTTTCTACTTAATGATTTGTGTACAAAGGTACAAGAAGAAGACTTTGAAGAAAGAGAAGAGGGTTTTGAGTAATAAACATAATTAATATTGCATAAACATTTTGTAACGTTACCTTTTATGTCTAAACAGCCCAAAGATTTGTAATTTTTGGATAGTTTGTAAATTGACCACAAAAAAGCCCATAAATCAAGTTAGCTTTTAATTCAACACCTATCCAAGAACTTCTATTTATAAAATTGAAATGTTTAAAGCACGGCGTAAAGTATCCTTAAAGGGAGCAACAATTTTAAAAATAGAGATGCGTTTTTGGACATTTCAATCTCACGAATAGCCTTTGAGAGTTTGTTTATCGGGTGATTGGTAGCCGGGGCGTATCGTTTGAGGATAAATTAAACCAAAAGTTCGAGTTATTTCTGTATTTAGTTCTTGATGTTTTATAATGAAGGGAGGAGAGAAAAAAAGTTGACGACCGAATTTTGAACAGGAATCTTATGAGGACTTACCTGGAGGATCTGCTCGTGAAAGGCCGCCTCGTGCCCGTTCAGATTCAAGTCCGTTCTTCTGGCCAAGGACGGACTTGTGACAGGCGATTCCCTCGTCATTTCTGAAAAAAGAAAAGTTAAGAAAATGTTAAAAAATTTGACTTGAAGAAAATGTTACAAATTTTGACTTGGTTTTCTGTTAAAAATTCGACCGATTTGTTGTGAATTGGCAAGATAATCGATTATGTTCCGTCCAAATGCGACCAGGCCTTGGGGATATTTCTGAAAATCCATTTTGTCTTGTCCATTCCGTAAATAGATTCAATTTCCACACCCATCCTGTTAGGGCGAAGGCGCGAAGATAGTACATATTGCGTTGCACAACGTCAATTTTTTTTCTCCCTCGACACGGCGTCATCCCTTTGATAAATAAAGTGTGCAATTGACGAGTGCAAGTTTTGAAAGGGGACCTTGATACCAGGCCAAGACTTTTCACTTCTAACACATACACAGGGAAAATAAACGAAAAGCATTAGAAATAATTTTCGACCGGCTGTCTTGGCAGATTCGGCCGTTTACAACCACCCTTCTATGATTAATCTGTGATCTTGAACGCAGAGGTCGTTGAGACGAATAAGCACGAACCTCCCTCATAACTTTATGATCATTTACAGAGATTAATTAAGCAAAATGATTAAAAGTGGTATGAACTTGGCATACATGTTAAATTCAACATCAAACACTATAACTTTCTTTATACCAATCCAATATAGTTTAATAAGAAATATTTTTGAATAAATTTTAGCCTTGATGTAAATAAATTAAACACGTTTCTAATCGGATAGTTTAACTCATTACGTCAATGCTGATAATGATTCAAATCACTGGGCAAAGTTAAAAATTATTTTGGGGAAATTCTCTCGAACAATCGGAAAATATTGCTTTTTAGCGTTCCAACTGGCCTAAGAATTGAAAATAGAAACAACTGGACTTGCCAGACTAGTATTTTGAGAATTTGTAACAAAAAAAATAATTAAAAACCCAAGGCATTTTTATCAAATTTGCACTTTTTACGACAGCTTTATGACTGTGTTACTGACTAGAATTGTCAATTTTGAGTAATGGGCGTAGCAATTAAAAAAATATTTAAAAATGGCATATTTGAAAAATGTGCGCCTTATGTCACTTTTTAAAGCCAATATCGCTAAAACTTTGTATAAATCGTAATTTTATCGATAACTATTGATACTCAATTATTAGGCAAAATTGTTCTATTGTTTTAATAGACCATTCTTCTAGGATAAAAGGATTACTTTTGTTTTTAATCTAAACAGTACTACGAAGGGTAAAAATTATGTGGGTGGCATCTGCATTTAATTTCAAGCTTTTTTTGAACCAAGATTCCAAAAGCATGATACGATGATGCAGGTTTCGAGACCAACGGATTGAAGTTATTCGTCTGCAAAGGTGAAGATGGTCGTCTGTGTATTCTTGAAACAGCATGGGAGCTAGTACGTCGCTCTGAGGAACACCAGCATCTGGACATACGCAGAGATGGAATTGCTTTCACTATATGTATTTAAAAAGATAAGATATATGACAAAGCACTAATGTTATCAAGTTTATAAATGGGGGGGTAGCAAAAAAGTTAAATAAGAAAGAAATCTATTGACTTTCAAGTCTGTAGTTGTCGCACATAAAAATTTAAGTCAGGAAATGAATAAATAAAAATATGATGCATATTGAAAACATTTGCCCCTTTTCTGGAACATTAATGGTAAATATTCCTAAAACTACATGAGCGCATAAAACGGGTGAAATGAGATGACTTTTTATCTTTCAATTATGCTCTCAGTTTTTAAAATGCAATGATTGTTTTAAACAAAAGTAAATTATTTCATAGAAGACTCAATGACATTTAAAAAATTATAAATAAAAATCTGGGCATATTTGACAGATATGCGCGTTCTCAAGAACATTTTATGGGAGCTATTTCTAAAACTTTACATAGTCTAATCTCAGATGAAATTATATTAAATAGCCATGTTCGTTTTGAACACAAATAAATTATTTAAAAGACATTAAATTTTTCTAATTAAAATTGAATAATATTTAAAAAATTTCTGACATATTTCTAAGATCTATCTTTAGAGTCTAAAGGTTAATACTGTAATTAAAAGTATTTGTATTTCCAATATTTTTAATTATTTATGCAGTTGTGAGTGAAATTTAGTCTAGGGTTAAAATAGACCTATTGACTAAGATAAAAAGTCAATCTTGATTTAATCAATGGCATAGTGAAAGTGTTTTTTAACACCCGTGAACTTACATAATAATAATTTAAAACAATTAGGTAAAATATTTAAAATAAGAATATAAGAACAAACAGAAATAAACAAACCAAATGTAAGAATCATTTTTCAACAAAACATTATGGGAATATCAGTCAAATTTGTCCTTTTCATGAAACATTTTTAAGGCGAATATTTCTAAAACCTTATACATAGAGTAATTTACAATGTTTCAAATTCGTATAAAATATTCTAGGTTTGTTCGTCCAGGATAATGCTTTAAATATATTTGCACTCTGGGCACGTTTGACAAATTTGCGCCTTCTCTCATTTTTACGGTCAATATTCAGATGGTAAAACTTTGCATATGGAGTTAATTAATTGATTGTTATTTATATTTCCAATATATTTTCTAAAAACATTTGAAAAATGGCAAAATTCGAACGGTTGTAGGTTGAGATGAGGAGTCGATACCTCAAGTGGTAGAGTGGCGTCGTATTGAGCCGAAGGTCGTGGGTTCGAAACCCGCTCGTGACACTGACTTTTTATCTCAACCAAGACCTTAGAAAGAATAATTAGTTCATTTAAAGAAGTAACTTGGTCAATTGAATACGAAAACGTAAATGGATTAATATTTTCTAAAATTGTTGTAGTAGTAAAATGCATCCGTAGACTATGAGAAATTGTAAATTTCGACTTAACCCATGAGTGGAAGTGCATTTCAAAACCCCTAAACTTTTTTCTAATAGGAGCTATTTATTAAATATATTAATTAATTAATATAATAATCGAACCTACTTAGTTAAATTATTTAAAATTAAAATGTAAGAAGAGACACAAATAATCTGACTATGGTTACCAAATTTAAGAATTAGGTTCGAACAAATCAATCTGGACAAATCAGACAAATTTGCACTTTTTTGGCACATTTTTATGGCGAATATTTCTAATTTCATTTTGTAAATTGACAGTGTTTATAATTTTTTCATGAACACTGGATCAAGGTATGGTCTTGAAGAAAAAAAAGGCTATAGTGACTGTAAAACGTTAATACTGTTTCAGTCCTTGGCAATGTTAGGATCGAGCCCGTCTTCAAGTAAATTTGAGATCGCCTGTAAAAAACTTAAATTTGTCAATCCGACGACATATTTAAGATTGTTTTGCCCTGATGATGATCTTAAAATAGGTCGAAAGCTTGGCAGTATCGACTGAATTTGCTCTTTTCTTCAAGACCATACCTTGATCGTGAGTAAAAAGTGGTCGATATCTCTAACATTGTTTACAAGTTGTAGAAAATATACAAGTTAAAAAAAATTAAACATAAATAAATTTTTTGTAGATTTATCGACCAACTTATGCGGATAATGTTCTCTTGGTGGTCAAAGAAAATATTTTTAATTTTAAATCTTCGTCTAGCTTTCGGAACTTTATTGTACCTTATTCAAGGCTTGATTTTTAGGCAGAAGTACATAAACTTAAATTATTTTATTTTCATGTTAACACTGAAAACCTTTTCACATTTTTCTTCCTTTTCAACTATGAAATGACTAGACTAGTTTTGTATAATATCATAGGCAGTAAAAATAGAAACAACAAAAGCTGGGCGAAGAGTTAAAATTAACAATACTTTCTTTGACCACATCCCTGATAACAACCAACAGAACATTATATACAAATAAATTTATTAAAATGAAGATTATAAGACAAAGATAAACCCGACTTTTTGGAAAACTTAAGACTTGAACTATTTTACGCAAAAGCACATTTTTCCTCTCTTAACTTTTCGGTTGTAATACTCCGCGTTCAAAAAGAAAAATTGAATATTTGAAAATGAAAGTTCTTGACCTGAAATTACTTTTTAACTCGTAAAAGCTTTCCCTCGCAAGCGAAACAAATTTTTAATTTGCCCGACACTTTTGCGGGCCTCGCGTCTTTTTGGCAAACGGTTGTGTTTTTTCCTTTGTGTCTTAAAAAAGAAATGAACCCTTCACGGTTGGAGAGGATATTGTCCGATTTTATTTCACAGGGACGAAGATTTATTTCACTCCGGCGAAAATGAAAAGAAAATTAACCGTCTCGTCAAGAAAACAGAATATACAATTCCACTCACCAGAATGACACGCCTGCAGTAATATCATGTTCGGAAATTATCTTAAAAACCCTTCGAGGCCCGGTTCAATTAGGTCAGAAGGTACACGTTGAAGATTAGGAGACTTGTCAAACTTTGTGGGGAAACATTCGCCAAGGCGGCTGGTCGAAGACTGAGGGGCTAAGCAAAATTTGACGCTCCCGTGTGATCTCACTGGTCTCAATCCAAAAATAAAACTTCTAGATAGCCGCTTATCGTTTCCCGACCTTGAACGGGTTGTTAAATAACACTTAATGTCAGGTTATAACTGGTGTTAAAAATAGATGACAATTTTTCATGGTGGGGAGCGAGGCCCTCTCTGAAATTCTCATCTGGGATTGAATGAAATGACGAAATCACAATGCAAATTTTATAATTAAATAGGGTTTCAGTTAAACTTCCCCAGAGCTTTTCATTTACGAACACACTTATATTTAAATTTTAGTTTGAACATGTCTTTCAACTTTTGCGTATCCTATAAAAGGATTTCGCCTTTTCTGACATGGTTCTTCAAAGAAAGGTACAAATAACGTACGCTTTTAAATCGATTGGCTTCTGTTCAACTAGCATTAATTACACTTTAATCATTCCTCTTTCCCTTTTTTTTTTATCTTCGCTGATTTTCAAGGAACGCCATATGCTCACTTACTTGGTAAAGTATCATATTTTAAAAATGCACATAAAATTTAAATTTGCTACTTACCCAACATTAGAAATATGTCAACATGACACAAAAACAGATCAGAATCATTAAAAACACAAAGAAAATTAATACGATGTTTTTCAAAAGTGCAACGTTATCAATAGGGTTTTTCCAAAGTGCTAGAGTTAAGCTTATTTACAATTTATACGAGATTACAAACTTATAAAGATAAAGCCAATGATCGAAAACAGGCTCTACGTTCGAAGTTCTACGTTAATTTGTAATAATTTTTAAACTCTACTATAGAATATGGAGTATTTTGGGGCTATGAGAATGTGATATATTAACATGTAAGGAGGGGCTTCCCCCCCCAATTACCTCTAGAATATCAAGTACTCTGAGATAGTGTGACTATTATTTATTAGCGTGAATAGAAGCACATTCTCCCTAAATACCCTGAGGTATATCGAGGACTGGGGGCTGTGAGAATGAAGTCTTGTTTGTGAGGATGTAATTTATTAACATGAATGGTGGNCCCTATTACCTCGAGAAATATCAAGTACTCTGAGGCAGTCTAAATGTAATTTACTAGAACTATTAGGTTTCGTGGTTCGATTGACCAAATAAATTCTTTTCAATTAATTAATCTTTAATTAAGGTTTTGGTTAAGGTATGAAGCCAAAAGAACATACTTCCCTGTGATTTTCCTGGCCAGAGGAGCCAAGTTTCTTTTCTCTCTGGAAAGAATGTACAAGACCAGAATCCTTTCTTGGACAAGAAAACTTTTAAGAGCTAGATCTGGAATCGAACCCGAGACATACACCCTGAAGGACTGTGGGAATGAAGTCCTATTTGTGTGAATGTAATTTATTAGCGTGAATAGAGGGGCATCACCCCTATTACCTCGAGAAATATCAAGTACTCTGAGGCAGTCTTTGTGTGAAGAGGGGCTTTTCCCCCCAATTACCCCTAGAATATCCAGCACTCTGAGATACTGTGATTGTAATTTATTAGCGTGAATGGTCGCACATTATTCCTAAAATTCCTGAGGTATATTGAATACTCTGGGGCTGTGAGAATGAAGTCTTGTTTGTGTGAAGAGGGGCTTTTCCCCCCAATTACCCCTAGAATATCCAGCACTCTGAGATACTATGTAATTTATTAGCGTGAATGGACACACATTATCCCTAAATATCCTGAGGTATATCAAGTACTCTGGGGCTGTGGGAAAGAAGTCTTGTTTGTGTGAATGTAATTTATTAACAAGAATGGAGGAGCTTTACCCCCAATTACCCCAAGATATATCAAGTACTATGGCGCAATGGGACAGTAATTTACAAGCGTGGACTTCATCGAACTTCATCCGTAATTATCCCGAAAAATACCGAGAACTCTAGGACAGTGTGAATTTTAACTACTAATTTCTTTGTAAATATATATATTTATTAGGTGTAAAGTATTTAGTGTTTAGTTTATGTATAATTTTATTTTTGTCTGACGAGGGCCTCAGTTAGAGTGATTTAATCGGTCGGTTACATTAAACCCAAAGCCGAGACGTGAATGTTACTTTATGTTTTACACTCATAAGCATTTCTCGAGGAGACGAAATATTGTGGTATGGCAAGGATTTTTGAGATGAAATACAATTCTAAACATGATCGTACATTTTTGTCAGCTCATTGGAGATATTTTTCGTTATCCTCATAGAGAACTAATTCTAGTCGGACCAGAGTTTGTCTAAATCTTCGGTTTAAAAAAAAATTATACAATTTCCTGAATCGAATCGCATTCAAATTTAGTAAAACAAACGAGAGCTTTTCCAGGATTTAACCCCAATTGTAATCTTTCGGTCTTATCTGTCTTTGTTGTAGTTAAGTTTACATAATGATTTATAGAATGACTAGAATTGATGGAAATTATACATGATGGGGTCAGTGTGGAGTTCAATCCTATTTAAAAAGATGAACCATCTTTTTGAGGAACCATTTTTTTAAAAAAAGGATTGACTGGAATTGTTTGCATCACAGTTTGTATTAAAACACGATGATGTAAATACCGACGTACATGTGAAGCAGTATATCAACAATTTTTTCGTTTTTTAAATAATTAACGGTGTACATTTTTCTGGATTAGACTGGGTTTCACATTTTGTAAAAAATGTTTGATAAAAGTACCTTACAGTACCTCTCCTGTTTTCATTGCTCAAGGGTCATCCTGAAGGGTATTTTAAGCCCTGATATTTTGATGAAATCAAGACTTGAAAGCTTTTTTCCCATTATTTTCTTTATAATTCTTTCGGCCTTAATGTACTTTTCTTTGATTTTCCTGGCCCTAGAAGCTTCCACGCTTGTTAAACGCGAAGAATGTTAGGGCAAGACTGAAAAGAAAAGAAAGAGGCCAGATTTTTAGTTTACAAGCTCGTTTGTATGAAGCCAAAAGAACATACTTCCCTGTGATTTTCCTGGCCATAGGAGCCAAGTTTCCTTTCTCTCTGGAAAGAATGTACAAGACCAGAATCCTTTCTTGGACAAGAAAACTTTTAAGAGCTAGATCTGGAATCGAATCCGAGACATACACCCTGAAGGACTGTGGAAATGAAGTCCTATTTGTGTGAATGTAATTTATTAGCGTGAATAGAGGGGCATCACCCCTATTACCTCGAGAAATATCAAGTACTCTGAGGCAGTCTAAATGTAATTTACTAGAACTATTAGGTTTCGTGGTTCGATTGACCAAATAAATTCTTTTCGATTAATTAATCTTTAATTAAGGTTTTGATTAAGATAAAAAAGTCAGTGTCACAAGCGGGGTTCGAACACACGACTTTCGGCTAAATACGCCGGTGCTCTACTACTTGAACTGTCTTGACTTCGATCCACTCGGACAATAACTTCCTATCTCAACCCCACCTCTCGAATTTTACCTCCTTTTTGCCATTTTTCAAATGTCGTGTAATCAATTTGATTCTCGGTGACAAATGAAATGGCTACGGAGAGCTTTAGTGAAGTATACTTCATTTTGCTTATTATATCTATTAGGTTTCGTGGTCCGATTGTCCAAATGAATTCTTTTCAATTAATTAAATTTGTTAAGGAAATTGGTGTCCGAGTGGACCGAAGTCACAATAGCTCAAGTGGAAAATTTATTAGGGTGAATGAAAAGTACTGCATCCCTAATTACCACGAGGAATATCGAGTAATGCTTTTATTTTTACTTTTTACAAGTTTGCTTTAACGTGAATTTTTTTAAAGAGATTATTTAATTTTGATTACTTTGTTATCAATAGGATTTTCCCATGAGTTACAATACTTACTCGAGTTAATCCTGCAACTGATAAAACGATCTCTTCTAGTACAAGTTTTTTTACAATAAATACTTGCAGTCGTTATAAATTTTATATTTTCTTGTTTACTATATATTTTAAAAGAAAATATAATATATATAGCTAAATAAACAAATCAAATAAAAAAATAAAACGGAGTAAAACAATTTTACCAAAAATGTTGCTAACGAGGGAAACAATGAAGAAAATTGGTGATTAGTGACCGTTAATGGATATTTATTTAGAAATCGTGAGATGCGGTCTGGTGTGATGTAGGTTTCAGAAGATGATCTCAATAAAGATCGAAACGTTGGCACGATAAAGAAAATGTTTTTCTGAAACCTACATCGCACCAGACCGCATCTCACGATTTCTAAATAAATGATGAAGAAAATATTCACTTCAATACTGAGTATTTCCTCCTCTTGTGTTGATCACCGCTCGCATCCGACGTGGCATCGATTTTATGAGGTTTTGAATGTAGTGCCGGGGAATATTATCATACTTCTCCAACAGCGCCATTCTTAATTCCTGCAAATTCTCTGGTATCAACGGGCGGATTTTTGCCCTCTTTGGCAAAGGTGTTAAATAGGAAATGCTGACCACTTCAAACATGAATTGAAACCCGTTCCAAGTCGTCTAATTTTTCGCCCATTTGGGGCTTTGCATTGTCTTGCATAAAAATAAAACGGTCGCCAATTAATGGCATGTACAACTTCTGACAATACATCTTCAGTGTATCGCGCAGCCACTAAAAAAACTAAACGCTAATATAGCGTTCAAAATATTATATCCTGACCGAATACACGGTGTAATTATTCATCGTAATATTAAATAACGAGCAAAAGAAAATGCAAATGGGTCATATATTTTTATACGTGAACACCCTCACGCAATACAAGGTGCGATAAGGAGGCTTTTCGTTTTTAAAGCTCTCGAGTTTTTCAAATATCATGGCCGATTGCTATTTTCAACCGTCATAATCGTATTGAAAAAGAAAAAAAGGATATGCAAAACACGCTAACGTTTAAATATAAAAATCGAAACACCTGAAGTAATAAACGAATAGATTACCTTTTGAGGGTATGCCCTGGTATTGTGGAGCTATCTCCACGCCCCTGTATGAGGCCACGTTTTCTGAAAAAAAAAAGAGGAGAAAAATGTTAAAATTTTTTGGACAGGAGATAGGAAAAATAGCAGTTGTCCCTACCATTAACCTTAGTGTGCCGAGGGCCGGCCTAGATACTAAAATAGCACTAAAAACCAATACAATATTCAAGTGAGAACATAATGACTAATTAAAAAGATGGACAGGTGTTTTCCTCTTGCTAAGCGAATGTTAGCAAACAAACACAACCACTCTACACCGTTCTAAATTTAGACTCTGGGCAAATAAATTATCATTAATATTTATTCCAAATGTTTGAGTTGTTACGGTTCGTCATTAGTTGTGATTATCTCTTTCAAGTAAGTATTGTACTATTTTAACAGTTCTAGTGAAAAGAAAATGCAATAACTTAACGGTCAGGTACTTACAAAAACAGCGAGATAAACAGTCCAATTGATTCATGAGAAGCGTTAGTTTGTAAAAAGAAATTATGTTATTCACTCACCACTTAAGAACATGTGTGATGATGGATACGCACACCTTGTAGACTTCGAAAGAGAAGAGCAATAGAGCAAGAGGGCGGGGGAGAGAGAAATATAGAGGAAAGAAAGAAGGAAGGAGAGAGGGAGGGAGAGAGAGAGAGAAAAGAAAGAGGGAGAAAAAGAGAGGGGGAGGGCTGAGAGAAAGAAGAAGAGAGAGGAGAGAGAGACAGAGAAAAGAGAGAGAGAGAGAAGAAGAAGAAGAAGAAGAGAGAGAGGGAGGGGTGAAAGAAAGAAGAAGAGAGAGAGGGAGAGAGGCAGAAGGGAGTGAGGAGGGGTAGAGAGAAAGAGTGTGAGGGGAAGGGGGAGATATAGAGAAAAGAGAGGGGAATGGGAGAGAGAGGGAGAAAAGAGATAGGGGAAGGAGGAGGGAGAGAGAGAGAGAGAGAGAGAGAGAGAGAGAGAGAGAGAGAGAGAGAAAAGAGAGAGGGGAGGGGGAGAGAGGCTAGATTATTATTTTATTACCAGGCACTATCGACGACTTATCGACCAATTATTACATTTCATTGACAACAATAAAATTTACATCTTTCTACGTGTTAAAACTTTCATGTAAAAAGTTGTAAGCCTTTGTTTATTTAGTTTACTTAGCTATAGTATAGATAGGAAATTCGTTCTGGTCTAATAATTCCTACTTGGAAAAACCTTAGAACTAAATTAAATAAAAATGACGTAAGAAAAAGCCATCATTAAATCATAAAAAGGAAAAAATGAGATGGAAACAAAAATGTCTGACAAAATGAAATTAAAAGAAAATTTGGCAGACCCTTCCAAATAAAAATAACAACAAAAGATGTTTGGAAGAAAAAAGTCTTCTTATGGTTACAGTGGATCTAAAATGGAAGATTGGAGTGGATGGAAGAATCAAAGGCTCACATTTTGACCTAGAGCAAGTCTAGGCCTACACGAACAATTTTTTAAGTTGATATATTCTCACACAGGCATTAGATTCCTCCATTTTAAACTCTTGGGAAAACGAGATCTGATGTGGATCCCAGGAGAGAATGAAGGCAACGAACACGCTGACAAAGAAGTAAAAGATGGAGGCAGCCCTCAAATTGGACCAGAAACGCAAAATGGCACGCCCCAAAGCTTTAGCAAATACCAAATTATTATTTATGAACTACTCTCCCCTTTTATTTCTGTTGTCTGGAAATAATTTAAAAAAAAATAGGACTGGTCTTTACATAATTTTTAAAAATCTGAATCTGAAGTTAAAATTTTTTCAACGTACGGTACGTCCCCAGGGCTCAGCACCGTTTTTTTCAAATGGGAAATAATTTTGAATACCAAATTAAATTCTACGATTTTTGAAAAAGGATTTTTTAAAGAGGATTTTACTTCGGGCTCTGTTCTTGTAGAGTTTGTCGTTTAAGAGTTATTAAGGTTTCAAGGTTCAACTTTTATTTATCTTCATGCATTTACCTCTTCGTAATGTTAATTGCTAATTCACTTACCTCCTAGTTACTTTATTAAGGTAATCCTAGTAAATTAAATTTTCAAATTGGTCATCAACTATTTCCATAGAAAACAAAATCCTACTATGGAATTCATTTCGCACTTCACTTAACGTACCTGGTGTTATGCGAATTAGAATTATCCCAATATCTTAAAATTTTATATATTATATAATATATTAAAATTTTATAAAACTTCCCGTCAATAAATATAAAAAATCAAATAATATTTAGAAAAATCCTTTATTTGACTGGCTGAAAACAATTAGTTTACTTTACTATATTTAGATTTAAAATCTTGTAGATTATATATTATAAAAAACCCCGTTCCAAGTTTATCACTGTCCAAGTACTGAGGTCATAGCTCAATGTTTCAAAAAACAGTTGTTGTTTGTTGCTAATTCTGATTAAAACAAGATTTTCAGTTTTGAAGCCAAGGTCTTTTCGAGGTAAAATAGTTTATATTTTGAAGTACAGTTGAAAATAAATAAATAAAAAAATAATTTATAACTAAAATTTAGCATTTGATTTAAAGCTGCATACAAAACGCAACATGCGAAAATGAGTAAATATACAGAATATTTTCGACCAATAGTGTTCCGATTGTCTTAGATCCATAAACCTAGTATGGATATCACATCTTTTTTTGTAATTTGGTCGTTTCCGATATTTTTTTACCTCTGACAAACCAAACCAGCTGGGATAGGTTCATCATTCTGCAGACTCCAAGACGAAATCTCATTTTGTTAAATTTGATCTTAAAAGAGTACGATGGTATGTCGCGTATTTGGACTAATTTTTTTGGTGATTCTCTAAAATATCGGACACTTCTTGGTTTACCCCCAAAAAATGTTTAAAGTTGAGTTTCGTTTTTTAATATTTTTATTTCCCCATTCTATTTACCCAAATATCATATGAATATACCATTTTGCAATATTTTTTAGTTAGTTTGCAATAAAAATATTTTAAAAGCCATTGAAGTTTATCAATAACCAAAAATTTCTAAAAATCAAATATTTTTAAGCAAACAAGGTCATTTTTCTTTTCTTGCCAAACTAATATGAAATTTCGTTTTAGCACCTCTTGACACTCCTATATAAATTTTTGTTTTTAATCGATCGATTTTTTGATCCCTAAATTTTTTCATATTTTTTGAGAAGTTATCGTAATATTTAAACAATTATAATTCCAAAACGGCTAAAAAGATTTTAACGTCAAACAGACCATTTTTTCGACAAGAGGAACTTAGTAGCTTTTAACGAAGTAAGTATAATTAAAATACATAAAATATTTCTATAAGCAACAAAATAGCAAAATTATTGTTATCAGAAATTAGCCTCTTAAAAAAAATCGAAATAACAGTCCGATTTGAATGGTTAAAACAGTCATAAAATGCGCTTGATAATTTCTTTCAAAGAATTAACTATGAAAATCGGTCCACAAGTAACGAAATTCAAATTTATCAGTTTTGAAACAGGAGGGGCCAAATATATTTTTAGTTGAAGGAGTTTATTTATTTATACTGCAAAAATTAAAATAAATGGTAAAAATTATAAGTGTAACGTAAATTGAATTAAATGAATATAAATCGTTAACTGTTCAACTTCCCTATTAAATTCTATCCTATTAAACGATTTTTCCTGTTTCTGATACCTCGAGGTCTGTAAATTTTGCACTTACAACGGGAAGAAGGTTCACGGATTTTGACAAAAAAAAATTTCCGTTATTCTACACTCCGAACTATTTTTTAATAAAATCGACTTAATGGGGGAAATGAATTTTTTTTCCAACATCTCATTTTAGTCGCAATTAAATGAGGATAAATCATTATTAAAAGATTAAAAAATATTATTTTTGCTATATAATTTTCATTGTTGGTTAACGCAACAAAAATGTTATACGAATACGACGCAAAATATTCTAACTAATAAACATTATGTAAGCAAAGTAGATCGGAAAATGGTCCAAACATGGATTTCACCCTATTTTCGTGATTATAGCGTTATAAAACCCTTAGATATCAATTTTCGCGGAAACTGATGAAATTTTTTTAAAATAATAATTTCGACTACTTGACTCACATGCCTAGTGCAACCTCTAACATTTTTTTTCTCGAAAGCTAGTAGGCCGATTTTCATAGTTGAAAGTTCGTTTAAAAGAAATTTCAAATACGTTTTATACTGTTATAAACATTGAAATCGAACCATTTAACAAACAAGGATGATTTATGGTAAATCTGGTGTACTTTCTTATAGAAATATTTTATACATTTTAATGATACATAGTTAAAATCCTTTTAGACGTCTTGAAATTATAGCCTTTTCAATAAGATATTATGATAACGGCTTCTCAAAAATCGGAAAAAATTTAGGGGCCAAAAAATCGGTAAATTGAAATCCAAACAAAAAATTATATATCGGGGTCTCTAGAGGTGCTAAAATGAAATTTCATATTAGTTTCATGAGAAAAAAAATTTATGACTAGTTTGCTTGAAAAATATTTGATTTTTAAAATTTTTGGTTATTGATAACTTTATCTAGTTTTTAATATATTTTTATTGCAACCTACATAAAAAGTGTTGTAAAATAATATATTCACATAGTTGCTTTGAGCGCGCAGTACGTCGTAATAAAAAGATTAAAAAACGTTAAATTTTATTTCAACTTCCAAAAATTTTTTTTGGAGAAACCGGACATCCTAGAAGCGGACTAAGATTTTAAGATTGTCTAAAAGTCCGATATTTTGGAGCGTAGAATCACCAAAAAAGCTTGGTCCAAATCCGTGATAAATCAACCTGGCCGTCCCCTTGACAGGTTTATTTAGTTGAATGTATTCCAAAAAAAATTTTTGGGGAAAAAAAATTAATTAGCAGAGCGTGGTTTCGATCCACGGACCTCTGGGTTATGGGCCCAGCACGCTTCCACTGCGCCACTCTGCTACCGGTACTGGAGCGCCTATTTGCACACACTTAACTATACTGATCCATCATCAATTCACGTTTAAATAAAAACGTCTCTAAAAAACGTGGCGTGC